CATAAAATAAAAAATTTATATCTTTATGTTTGAAGCCTGAAATGTGGCAAAAGGTTGAAAAGTTCAAGGGGGCCGAATACTTTCGCAAGGCACTGTACATTGCCATTTAAGATGTTGGAAAATAAATTCTTAATTTCTGTGAAAAGTATTAGAAATCTCCCTCTAAACTTTTAAGAGATCAACTGAAGTACTTCTGGAAGCTGTTCCTGATTTTGAAGAATGTTAATGAGAAATTTATTGTTTTGTGTTCTTTTCAGGTAACTACAGTGTACGGGTTGAAGTTTTTAACAGTTATGACAGGACAGAGAAGGCTGTTTTAGTAATGGTGCAGAGTCCACTATCTGGGCTATCCCTCTTCCTAACTCCAGCCTACCCTGCTGTCAACCAGGATTTTGAGCTAAGAGCTCTTCCAAGACCTTCCACTTATGGAGTTTGTTATCTATGGAACTTTGCTGATGGCTCCAAGGAAATTAAGGAATGCAATTCCAAAGTCAGCCACACTTTCAAAACAGCAGGTGTGTACAATGTCACAGTAACTGCCAATACCATGTTCAACATGTGGAGGTCCTGGATGGCTGTGGAAGTTGTAGAAAGAATCGCAGGTCTCAAATTAAGTTACAATGGACCCAATGAACTGGGGACCCCTACAGTTCTCAAAGGAACTGTGTCATCGGGTACCAGACTCTTTTGGACTTTTGACATGGGTGACGGGCATGTGTTTTCTAACGTTTCAGATGCTTCGATCTCCTACATTTACAAGTCTGCTGGGAATTACTCTGCCAGGATTAATGTGGACAATCCCGTCAGTCATGCTTTTCAATCAATTAGTGTGGAGGTATACAGACTAATCATAGGTGGAATCCTTCCATCAGGCTGCTTTGTGGCCAGACGTGAGGTTCCTTTTCAAGCCTTGGTGTCTGGGAAAGAATCTGCTGTGACGTTTCACTGGATATTTGGTGATGGAAGTCCCCTGGCTATTGTCCAGGGAAATTCCACAGCTGTTCACCGTTACGCCAGCCCAGGTATCTATTATGTGAACATCACAGCTTTTAGCCCAGTAAGGTCAGCTTCATATCAAACTGAAGTTTGTATGGAAGATCTCATAACCTCTTTGGCAATAAACTCTTCACATTCTGCGGCAGCAGTGGGGCAGGAGATTTGTTTCAATGCTTCTGTAATTCCAAAGCCAGATGAACAACAGAGTTACCAGTTTCTGTGGTACACAAATTTCTTCAACCGATCACCCACCAGGGGTTCCTCAAATTATTGTTGTATTTTTAAAGAAGAAGGGTCCCATCATGTGAAAGTGGTAGTAAGCAATAATGTGAGCAACAGGACAGCCACAGTATTGGTAATTGTGCTAATGCCAGTAAGGGAATTAATTATGAAACAAGATAGAGGGCCCCCTGGGGCTGTGGCTGTTAACAAGTCTTACGCATTCATGGCTGAAGCCTCTTCAGGAACCAATGTCACATTTCAGTGGGATTTCAGTGATGGATCTTATATTAGACATGGACAAACGGTTTCTCATGTCTACACATCTCCAGGACGGTTTAACGTCTCCGTTACAGCATTGAATGCAGTCAGCAGGGAAAGGGTCACATCGGAATTCAATGTGCTGATCCCCATTTCTGACTTGGTTCTGATCACCGATCGGCCTGTTGTTGAAGTGGGTCAAGAGATGGTAATAACAGCTACAGTAAACGTTATGGTAAATGTTAGTTTTTACTGGTTGTTTCACCCATCTTTCACACCTGAGCTGGGAACATCAACTTTTAAGCACATATTTTTGAAAGCAGGTGTCTATAACATCTCAGTGGTTGCCCAAAATCCAATTAGCAAACAGCAAGCCACCATTAGGATGGAAGCATATGAGAGAATATGTGGATTAAGTATCAAGAGTCAGGATCTGATTTCAGAAAGGTATATTCCAACTGGAACAAATGTTAGGTATTCTGCATCTGTGGCCCAGGGTTCTAATGTGACTTTTGAGTGGTTAATTTATCAGAATGCAAGCAACAGACCTCTAAGTGAAGGGGAAAACGTCACACTCCATACTGATACTCCTGGAGACTTTGTGGTGATCCTAAAAGCTAGAAACCCTTTGGGACTGGTGAATAGCAGTCTTTTGCTTAGGGCTGTGGAGCGCATTGCAGGAGTTAAGGTATTAACAGAAGGAGATATTGTACCTTTGGGTAAGCCCATCAAGATCATGGTTAGTGTGGATACTGGGACAGACCTTCAGTATATCTGGCGTGTGGACTCAAATCACTCTCCTCTACTGTCAAATGAATCCTTTCTTTTTCACGCATATAGACTCATTGGCACTGTTGTCATTAAAGTATCTGTGACCAACATGTTGGGCTCCAGTGAAGGCTCCAAGCAGCTCAGTGTCCAGGAAGAAGTAAGTGAAGTGGGTTTTCTCATCCAGGGTACCCTAGGTCCATTTTATGTCCCATCAGACTCACCTGTGGCACTTGAAGGGTATGTAAAAAAAGGAAATGATTTGAGATGGGAGTGGAAATTTTCTAGGAGAACTGGTTCTACCCTTTTGTACAATCAGTCAGTTATTCATTCCTTTCAGGAGGCTGGAAAATACCTAGTGTCCCTCAATGTGTCAAACAATATAAGCTGGAAAGATATAGCCCATGAAGTCATAGTTCAGGACACAATCCAGGGGCTGACAGTAAACGCTAGCCACTCCACACTCTGTGAAGGAGATCAACTTGTTTTTAAGGTGACAATCTTGAAAGGCAGTGATGTTCACTTTTCTTTGAACTTTCCCACTCTAAATTACCTGGTTAATCTTGAAACGGACACCTACATGACATCTGACCTTCCAGTTGGCAATCACTCAGTCACTGTAAGAGCCAGAAACCATGTGAGCTCCTCTGCTACAGTTCTAATGGTAGAGATAGTCGAGAAAATTCATGGGCTTCGCCTAGTAAATTGCTGCTTTCATATTCTGGAGGCCAAAAAAGAAGTGAGCTTCCAAGCAGAGCTCCAGAGTGGATTTCAAGTGCATTACCAGTGGACTTTTCAATTGTCTGGATACCCTCTTTTGCAAGCAGCTGGGGCAAAAGTCTTTTATACCCCACCAGCCAATGGCTCTCTTACTGCAACCATTGTGGCCAGCAATGCTTTCTGCTCTCTGTCCTTGACTGAAAATGTGAGTGTGCAATCCCCAGTCCTTCATGGAGAGATGTTTTCTAACTTGACAGATGTCTTCATTCACCAACCTCTTGAATTTTGGGTCCTTGTAAAGGAAGGCAGCGATTTACTTTACAGATGGAACTTTGGTGACTCCAGGAAGACAGTTGTTAACAGGAACAGCACAGCCATCCATCGCTATCACACTCCTGGGAGATATCTGGCAGAAGTGACTATCTTTAACAATGTCAGCAACTTCACTACACAGTTGTTCATTAATATTAGGAAGCTGGAATGTAATGTACCAAAGGTTGACCTTATTCAGGGAAAACCAAGGATCCTGAAGTCCAGACCTAGTTACTTTGAAGCCAGTGTGGATCTTCAACGTTGCACTGCTTACAAGGCTGGCTACCTATGGGAGGCATTCTGGGGTCCAGACTGCCTAGAGAAAGACAGGAAGCCCTTGCAGAATATTGACGTGACTTCCCTTTTATTGGTTCTGCCCAAGTTAACACTTGAAGTGGGCTCCTACTGCCTGAGGTTCACTGCTGCTCTTCAGGGCACTCCTTTGTTGCAGTCTAAGAGTGTGAATATCACAGTATTGCAGAGCCAGCTGGTAGCCCTTATCAAAGGTGGCTCTCATAGAGTTTGGGCAGCACAAGAGGATCTGCTGTTGGATGGCTCAGGATCACATGACCCTGACATTGTGGGAGGTGAAGATAGAGACCTGCAGTATTTCTGGAGCTATGCTGTTCAGGTAAGACTCTTCCTCTTGTGGTTCACCAATCTGTTAACTAGTATTTAAGTACTAAGCACCTTTCAATCAAAACTGGTAAAAAATAAAATGTTAGAAAACACACTTTCTACATGCTAAACTCTCTTACTTTTTGCATTTTAACCCTGAGAGAAAACATAAGTTTAGCTACACTTGAGTGTTATTTGTAATTCTGACCTACAAACAGTACAGAACAGTAGAATTCAAATTAATGTGATTTTGCTCCTATTTAATTTTTCTGGTACTTTGCAGTGTGGAAAGAGAGGTTGCAGTATTTCCACTAATGTGAATGTTGTAGCCTGTGAATTCACCCTGAGATTGTTTCACTGTGTTCACTGTCTTTTCTTTCCTTGCAGAATACAACAGTATCCTCGCTCAGACCCAGCATCCTGAACAACAGCAGCACATTTATCCTCTCCAGGTTTAACCTTCAGCCTAATGCTCTTTATGTCTTTACGCTTACTGTCTTCAAAGCAGGGAAACTTCCAGCCTCCACAACCCAGTCTGTGAGTCTATTATTCGCCCCACTAGATTTCCAGTATAACATGATTTAGAGTATTTGGGGTTTTAATTATGTACTGGATGCACTGTGCTCATGAAAGCAGGTTCAAAGCTCATTTTATCTTTGACTATCTTTTACTTCACCTCAACCCAGATATATAATGGGAAACTAAAGTGGCTGGTCTTTTAAAGGAAGACCTGTATAATTTGCTCATTCCCTTGTGCAGAAGTTCTGGTTTGAAGCAAGTGTAGCACACACTTAACAGTGCATTATGTTAGGTGGAGTGGCACACCATCCAGCGGCCTGCCAGTTGACATTACGTGTACCGTAGTCACAATTTAAAAATCCCTCTGTTAATTATTGTTCAGTTTGGTATGATGCAATATTTTTTTCTTTTCTTTTATTAAATTCAAATTATGATGTCTGCTCATAAATGTTTTGACTAGTTTGCAGTATAAAAAATAACACCAACTTATTGATTTTAGGGAGGTATCATGTTTTTTGGAAGAGTTTATTTGGCCAAAATAAGAATTAATATGAAATATCTACACACAAAGAAACATTAAAATGCATCAAAAAGTCATCATTCTCTGAATCAGTGGCCAATTTTGTTAGTAACTTACAAAAATATAAAATAGTATTAAATCTTTATACTTCTTTAAAATAACATCATTAAAGAACTGACTACCTGCCCAGTGATGATTCCATTTACTGAAGAGCTACTGAACCTTCATTTACCTAACATTTTGAAAATAGTTGGTGTCAGGTAAGGATGTTCTAATGTATTGCTCTCCCTATAAGTTTTTATCTTGACATAAAACACAGGTTTTATCTTTCACTTGTATTTATTTTACCAGCTGATGATGATCATGTGCAGTATGTTCTTGTATTCTGCATGTTCCTGACCCCTGATCAGGATTATCCTGGGGTCCTACAGTACATTACAAGTAAATCATGATTAAACATATAGGAAAAACAAGGAAGTGTGTAAAATTAAAAAAAAATCTTAACTCATATGTTGTTCATTGCAATACATGGTTCACAATTCTCAGTATTTTGCAAGTTATTCAACTTTTTTCTTTTTTAAAAAAAAATCATTTACTGATTCTTTACTAATTCTGAATGGATCTGTCAACCAAAGAAAGGAATAATTGAGATTGCCAAGGTTGCTCATCAGATAATGTGAAGCTTCAGTAGTTAAACTGTAATGCTGGTGAGACTGACTGTATTATTGACTTGTTTCTGAGTGGAGAGTTAGAGGGAGCTCATCCCAGGCTGGACACGGGTCAGAAGCTGTGGTGGAGAATTCCAGCTAGAGAGCTGTTTGCTAAAACCCTGTGTTGTGCTCATGGCTTTCAGGTGATGGTGAGGCTTGGCAGAGTCCTGCCAGTGAACATCCAGTGCCGGTCTTGCAGCGCTTTGTCCTCTTATCGTGTGAGTCACAGTGTCCATGTCGTTTTGTCTGGACAGTGTAAGGGCTGCAGCAATGAAACACTTGTAAGTTATTCCATATTTTTTTTAGTACTGTTTCTTTTGCACTCTTTTCTTCAAAACATTATCAAGTCTTATTGATTGAAAAGAATGTTGAGTAGAACGAATCTACGAATGGGTGGCACTGTGGCATCAAAAGACATACTGGTAGGTGAATTGGCTTCTGGGGAGAATGTCCATGGTGTGTGTTTGTGCTTCTGTATGCCCTATAATGCACTGGCATCCTGTCCGGGTGTAACCTGCCTTTCGCCTATTGTGGATAACAGTCCACATGGATGAATGGATGTATCTGCAAATAATTTGATTTGCAGTGAACAGTGAACTTGCAAGAAAATTCAGCCACTTCCTACTGTATATAGTATCCTATTTTTTAATTTATAAATTTGTTTTCAATAATTTGAAAATTCTGCACATTTATTTTTAGCTTAATATTCAACCCCTCAATGGACAAACTGAAAGCTTCAGAGAGTAAAATAGCTTCCATAGATAGACTTTATTAATCCTGTAGGGAAATTGATGTGTCACAGTGAATATCACCAAAAACTAAAGAGAACAAATGGAAATGTCAAATTTATAAGTATGTGGGCCTTTGGCAGCAATTATAGCCACAGGCATTTTGCAAGTCTCTCCCAATTTTACACACTTGATTGGTGTAGGTTTTACCCATTCGTCCTGGCAGATTTGCTCAAGTTCTCGCAAGCGACATGGGGATTGCTTAAAGACAGCAGTTTTCAAATTTTCCACAGAAAATTTCTCAATAGGATTTGATTCTGGACTGATCCACTCACAAGGTGATTTTCTTTCTTATTATTACAGTTCTTGTAGTGCCCACTGTTGAGAAGCAGAACTACAACATAATACTGTCACCACCATGCTAGTTCTTTGTAGCAGACTCCATACAGAATTTAAGATGTTACCTTTTCAGCGCCATACAGGCCCCCTTTATGAAGGGACCAGGATATTGTTACCCTACCTGTATGACCAATTGCTCATATCTCAGCCACTGAACACTGACTCTTTCAAAGTTGTGGTTAGTCTCAGAGTGGCATTCCTAACCAGTTTCCTCCTTGCCTGGCTGCTGAATCTGGAGGGACAGACTGATCTAGGCAGTCACTGGTACCTTTCACTTCTTAATGATTGGCTTTGTGATATTAATCGTTGTTGTTTTTATACTCATCTTCGTATTCATGTTTGAATGAATTTCAGCACCTGACTAAGGGACATTACAGAGATTGTGCAATTATGACTTTTCCATTTTATTTTATATTATTTACTTTTTTATTTTTATTTTAATTTTTTTCCAATTTGTGGAGTAGGTTGTGTATCATAAAGTGAATTACAGTTCTACTTCAAAGTGTCAAGACAAAATTTAAAGACTGTGCAAGGGTCTGAATACTTTTGCAAGCCAATGTATTTAAATTTCTTTTAGCTTATTGCGCATTATCTTATTGTCATGTTTTTTATGACACATTATATGGTTTCTGCTAAATATAGGCATCCTATATCTCAAAAAGTATTTATTATGACATCTTAAGTATATACAGGATTAATGGGTATTCCATCATTATAAAGGTGGATCATTAATGGGCAAGAACAAATTAACAAACATTGTTTATTAAATTTAATTGATAAATGAACATAATTGTTTCTGATGAACTGAAACAATCTGAAGTACCAATGTAAAAGTTGGTGCACAATCTTACCTCATGTCATAGATTTAGACATGCTCAGGTTGATCTGTGACAAGGCACCCCAAGAAAAGATTCTTATGACTTCTTGGCCCAGAATAAAATTTGTTTTATTTTGTTTTATACATGAGCAAAGTGGTTCTTTTTGTAAAGTGAACGTATTCATGACCTTAAAAAGATTGCTTGATTGACCATCATAACATAGTGAAATTAGTGATACAAATGTATGGCACTGAAAAAAATACTTTTGTTCTTTACTGTGATGTTGTTGTTCTGTCCCCAGTATGAGTGGACTGCTGAAGGATCACATGGAGAGGTTCTGGAACTGAACAACGTGTCGACAACAACGGGGAACTCCTTCCCAGACTTAGTCATAAGGAAAGGGGTTCTGCAGAACGGAGTCCACTACAACTTCACCCTTAGTGCTGCTCACCCCTCTAAGGAATTCTGGGGATCTGCCAGCATCATATTAGTACCCAACTACCCCCCTAGTGGAGGCATTTGCACTCTTACTCCCAATAGCACCATCTATCTCCTCGAGACTGTTGTCACTTATCACTGCTCAGGTACAGAGAGCCTCCAGACTGCATGCAATGTGAAAGAAATTTCTTCTTGTGTAGCCATGCAGAGGCTAAAGGAACTCAGATTTCATTGGCTTTAGGTTACATTGGGTAGCAGACAGGGTTCAATCCCCTGATCTGAAGCCATGCATGTTGAAATGTGTACTGGAAGTAATGTATTTCAAAGCTCACAGTTGAAGTGGGGGGATTCACTATTTTTCACCCCATCAGCTGAACATTTATTTTAAAACTTTAACATTTGTGTTTCTATGGGTATTTTGGGATTGTGTTTATTTTATCCTAATTTATTGTTCCAGCTGTAGAAAAGTGCATTTTGTGGATAGAGGTACAGCAAACTGATGGTGTTGTTTTGAAGTTTAAAAGGAGTAACAGATGTAGATTCAAAAATGGTGACTGTGTCCTGTTCAAGGCATTATTATGATAAGTAAAGCAGACAATCATTTTTATTTTGGCAGTCACAAAGAGAAAAATGACTGCTTCTTCACAATAAAACACATAATACTATGTGCTGAGTCATTGAACTTTTATTTGCAGGCTGGATGGATGAAGACGGAGACCTGACTCAGCTGATCTACACCATGCATGTAGAGGTGTGCCAGCACAGATACCACCAGTGCCACCTTCTCACCCTATACAGAGGCACCAAGTCAACATTCAGCACACTGGTACCAGTGGGTTCAACAGAGTCAAGCAGTTTTTCTCACATTAGTGTGCTGATTGAAGTGGAGGATGCCCTTGGGGGCAAAGTCATCGCTCTCAACAGGTCTGCAGAGGGAGTGTGGAACTCTGGTCTAAATGATGTCCTTCTGATAAAAAGTCTTAGAGATTACATTTGTAAATAGAGTCTTGTACATGAATCATTAGGACAAAGACTCTATCGTCTATATGTATCATGAGCTGTAGAAATGAAAAATTATAATGGATAACTTTGTGAAGAAGTTTGCAGTTGTTGTCTGGCAATTGATACTGCCAACTGAAAAGAAGCTACCAACTTGTGGTTAATTGGTTTTCTCATTTACTAAATGCTCAGCAGCTCAGTACAGTACAGCCACTCTGTGCCATATTTATGACTCATTTAGATGATTATCTAGGAAAGCAGCTCTCACCCCTAACCCTGGGGCACCTTTTTTGTCTCTGGTTTTCAGCTGGGCTCTGTGGTCTCCAATAATTCTGCTTATCCTTATATAGCTGCTTTACTTTATTATAACTCTTTAAAATACAGTGCTTTTTTAATGTTCCTGTTAAGAAACACATGCAGCATTGTTTTGATTCAAAAATAGAATTACCTTCCCCTAGAACTGTAGTAGTTGTTACTCCTTTTGCTTATCCTTTGAACAACTTGACCTACACAGGTGACCTACACCTTTGCACCTTTCTAGGTTGCTAACTCTGTCCTTCCTGTTATCCCAGTACCCTTACCGTGCTCCTGCCTGTATTCCCTGTGGAAAGTCAGGGAATGATGGAATGGCTGACGAACAAGAGCCAATCAAAGCTGTGGGACATGACCCAACAAAGCAACCCACAGGAAGTGATCCCCTACTCTATTGCTCTTACTAGCATGCTCAACCAGGTAGGTGTGGACAGTTTTGTTGTCGCTGGTAATCATTTCACTGAGTAATTTTAATTTTGTATATTAAATATCAATATATTAATTCAGTTTATAGAGAGGATATTAAATGTAATCACTGGTGTCATAAGAGAATCAAACAGTTTGTGACAGGGAGATAAGCTATCCAACATGATTAAAGTAAACAGAGCCAATTAGTAGGACAGTTCTCCATGAAAGAATCATTCCTCCTTTAAGGAGGACAGTACAAAACATAGAGTACTTTATTGACAAAGTATAAAAATAGTTTCTAGATTCCATTGTATACTACAGCTTGTATGGACAATTATTGTGTCATTTAGCATTTTTCTTTCCAATCATATGAATCTGTGTTCCAGATACAAAATGTCAATGAGTGGGACCGTCAGGACTTGATCAGAATCCGCAGCAACATCACACAAGTGCTGACCTCTCTCAGCATGTCCACCATGCACGATGTGGCTCAGATTAGCTCTGCCCTGGCACAGTGTGTGGTAGGTTATGCCAAACAGGTGGGCATAGGTTTTAGGTTCAACTATTTCCTACATACTTTTGTACCTTATATTTTAATTTAGTTGCCATGCTATAATATCTTTGTTTCTAAGCCTCAGTAATATTTTCTGTAATTATGTTTTATTTTAGGCTTTTGCATTATTCTTTGGACCTTTAAAGTTATCTTTGGATTAGAGCACTGTCAATCTTGTCTGCAGGCTGTACCCCATGAATTTGTGTGTGGAGAATGCAAGATCAAGACTCTTGAAGCCACTAGGAAGATGATTGCAATGATTGAGGACAAGACTGTGTTGGGAGATGACACCCCCGTTTCCACTGGCACCAACGTTCTGCAAATCTTGGGTACTAGAGGGAAGGGACATTTTCATGAAGCTGCTGCCTCTGTTGAATGTACTAAGGAGAATGTCAGCTGTCAATCTTACTTAGAGTGTCTTCAGCTGCTGATGTAGAATAGTATGCTGGTCAGTGGCTGAAATTACTGGGGTTTGGCTGACCAGCTCTCCTTTCTTGCAGGTGGCTTGATGGCTGCAGCAGGTCACAGCACCGACTCGTCAAAGATCCCGGAGATCACAGCCTCTGCCTTCAGCCTAGTTGGGGACCTCATGCGCTCTCTGATGCGCTCACGGGTCCCCAGAGAGGAGGTCTTAAAACTGACTGCTCCTGAGATCAGAGTCATGGGCCACCGGAGTGAGACTGCCGACTTAATGTGCACGAGTCCTTCATCACCCTGCCAGTTCTACATCCCAAAGGGGCTGAGCAACCAGCTGAAAGAGAAGAGGGAGGTCGTCCAGATCCTCATGAAGATGGATGCCAACCTCTTTTCTGCTAACCCACCCATTTCCACAGAGCTGGCTGCCATGGAGTTCAGCACCCCAGAGGGCCTTCCCATTCCCATCTCCAACCTTTCCAAAGAGAATGCCATCCATGTGATGCTTGAAACTCAGAAGGGAGTTGATGGGACCACAGCTCTTATCATCAACCCTCAAGGGTCAGTCAATTTCACAGTGAAAGCCATAGAAACAAATCCCAAAGCTGGTCTGTTCATCTCCTTTAACTTCACTCTGCACCCAGGTAAGGTACTTGAATTGCATTTTACTTTCATTGCCATAGTTTTGGTACATTCCTGAACTTAATTTAAAAGTGCAAAGAACTCATGCAATATAATGACTGATGAAAATGAACATTTCAGTCTTTAATGTAATGTAATCTGTAGGAGATTGGAACAGGGAGTCTATAGCTCTGTTGTCTTCATTGACCTGTAATGACTATATTATATCACATGCCATAGATAAACAGTAACTTAAAGATGCTATGGTCTCTAGCTGAGGCAAAAGTGTTAGTAATGAATTTCAGCATCCCCATTGGTACAACATATTACCATGGGCTGCAAATACTCCAGAGAAAACATGCCAAAAAATATGAACAGGCAGTCAAAGATTGTTAGAATAATACACAGGTATTACACTAGCATATTGCTTGTTAATTCTGCAGGATTTCTAGTGTAATTCTCCAGTATTACCAGTGTAGCAGTGCACAAAATCCTTAGTTTTGTTCTTTAAAACACTATACATAGAGCCCTCTTAAAAGGGATGGACAATGAAAAACGTAGAAGAGAAAAAAAACTTTTGACCCGCAGAATTGAATTAAGTGACCAGATTACTTTACTGAGATGCTGAGATATTTTATGAGAAAATGAATGATTCATTAATAGCTTAGAGATGTTTTTAGTCTTTAGAAATAGGTGACCTACAGTATAAGATTAACTGGATTAGGGAACTACGATACCATGGTTGTATGGCTGCTGTGTTGCACTAAGCACTACTCTGACCACAGGTTTGAGGCCAGAGAGTAGCCCCATGGTGAGAATCTTTATTGATGACCACCCTGCACCTTCTGAGAACCAACACTTACTCAGGAGAGACATCCTCCTGACCTCTACCTCGGAGACAAGCCATGTAGAAGAAACCATCTTCCTTTCACCTCTGTGAGTACCGGGCAGATACAGTACATCTCCTGCTACATGACTAGTAACCTACTGTACTTCATTAATATCATGATTAATCAAACAACATCAAACATTATTACTGAATTAAGTTAGCTAGAATATTTAAAGTCTGTATATTTCATGAGATGTTTGTATTTAATTGTAATTCATATAATTTTGCATTCGTGAGACTTTTAAGTCAAGAATACATAATAACTTTAGGTTAATTTCAACCTGAGTGAATTTAAAATCTGTCTATGAAATTGCAGTGCTCCAGTACTCTCCCTCCCTTCATAGGCACAATGGCACAGTGTGGGAGTACCACGTGAATATCAGCAGCCTCCTGGTGGGCCAGGAAGTCCAAGCCTCAGTGTGCGTCTTCAGCTCTCTCTGCCAGTACTTCAGCCTTGAAGAAAGGCGTTGGAGCAGCCAGGGCCTGAGCCCCCTGAATGGCAGCAGCCTGAAGACGGCACACTGCCTCACCAAGCACCTCACTGTGTTTGGAGCCAGCCTCTTCGTCCATCACAGTGCTCTTATCTTGCTTCCACCTGTGAGTCCACTGTCCCGTCCCAGGAATGTCAATGGTCAGAGAGGTGCTGTGCTATGATCTTTCTTTATGATGGTGCATTTAATACATTATAAAAAGTTAGGAACAAGATGATTTCCTGTCTGGAGCAAAGAAAAGTGAAGGAAATTTTGTATCTGCAAATCATCAATTTGAAACCGTAACAGCTTTCAATAAATCATTAAAATTGATCAATTGATATTGAATAAACATTTTCAAGGAATAGCTCTTTACAACCTATTGTCATCAATGATGTTTCTGTGAGGGTCATGTGGGAAATCTTCCCTCTTTCATATTTACAGTCAGAGGGTCCAGCTCAGAACCACGTGGTGGGGATCGTCTGTGTGATCCTGCTTGTGATCTACCTGGCCACCGTCCTCATTGCTCACAAGATGGACGACATTGACATCACCCGAGTGGGAACGATTCCACTGTGTGGGCAGTCGGGCCGGTACCAGTACCAGGTTCTGGTGAAGACAGGTTGGACCAGAGGCTCAGGTTGAGTATTTGCCGGGGGGAGAAAATGTGTTAGAATGTTAGAATGAAAAATGCAGACTGTAAGGGAAAAGACTTCTATCTCACAGAAAGATTAGAGATTAGAGAAAGTTTGATCAAGGTACTTATTCTGATATACTGTGATATAGCACAGGACAATATAATAAAAGATACATTTATAAAAGCCCTCATGGTCCAGATAGTGTTGTGTTTCTGAAGCTTGTATCCTTTATTCTGAACGTTGTCTGGGTCTATATTGTGCACAATAATTTGTATCAATATTGAAGACGCACTATAGTGGTCAAAGCTTTGAACATCTGACCGGAAGTTGTGCTCAAGTCCCTCTGTGGCAGCAGGGCACTCTAGTTCTGATTGCACTGGGACATCCAGCTGTATGAAAGCATCACAGCATTTCTAGAACATATCCTTGTGATAAACTGGTGTGCTGTCTGGGGGGAATAGTTCTGGTTTCCAAACACCATTTAAAATGTTTTAAGTATGATTGAACAGCTAATCTCTTTATACAGAGATTACATACATTTCCTATTATGTAAATATGATGGGAACTGGTATGTTCCTTACATACACACTCATGACATTACTAAAGGGTGGCACAGTGGTTAACATTGCTGTCTTACAGCACTTGGGCCCTGAGTTTGATCCCAAACCTGGAGTGTTATCTGAGTGGAGATTGTACAGTATGTTCTCACTTTATGTGTGTAGGTTTCCTTCAGGTGCTCAGTTTCCTCCCATAATCCAAAGACATACTAGTAGGTTGATTGGTTTCTAGGAAAATAGGCCCTAGGTGTGTGTGCATGCCTGTGTGTCTTCTCTGCAGAGTGTACCCTGCCTTGTGTCCATTGCATGCTGGGATAGGCTCTGGCTCTCCCTCGCCCCTGAACTGGGAGAAGCATTTAGAAAATGGATGGGTGGGCATCACAGTAAACAATATGACATGGTTAACAAGCAGGTGCTGTGCAGGCTAAAGCTACTTCTTTTGCAGGATATAATTAGTTCAGGTTTCACAATTGCTCTCTTTCAACAGGCACAACAGCTCATGTTGGTATCAGCTTGTATGGGCTCAACAAGAGTGGCTCTCGTCACCTCGATAGAGAAGAAGCTTTCCAGAGGAACAGCCTGGATGTTTTTCAGATTGAGACAGATGCCAACCTGGGGGAGGTCTGGAAAATCCGCATCTGGCATGACAATACTGGTAAGAGTGTCACCCAAAGAGCTCAAAAAAGCAAGTGTGTCAGTGATATCGTTATGTTTCTAACCTCCTAACTCGCAAATCAAATAGAACACTAATTTGTTTTTCGATAATGCCCAGAATTTCCATCAGTCTGTAGATTTAAAAAAGTCTTAAATGCAAAATTTCATAATAAGATGTTTTCTGTAAATAAGTAAAAATAAAATTTCAACATTGGTAACCATGATACATGCCAATCATGTCATGGCAACACAGGTCCTTGAAGTTAAAAGTGAAAGATAAAACTACATTTTCTGTTTGGAGGGAATCAGTAGAGACCATGATTTCTGGAGTTAGTGAGGCTTGTTTAAAATCAGTTTAAAATACTCAGTTGTAAACCACAGTGAATCATGAACACCACAGTAATCAGTTCATAAAGGCAAATTTATTTAGGTACTTCATTTAATCTCAATACCTTTCTGTCTTCAAGGAGCTATTGTTTTCACTTAGTAAATGAGTGACGCTGATATCTCAGTGTGTTTTTTTCTCAGGCCTGGACCCATCATGGTACCTGCAGTACGTCATTGTGTGGGATAAACAGACCAGCAACATGTTCTTCTTCCTGGTGGAGGACTGGCTCTCTGTAGAGAATGAGACAAATGAGGGAATGGTAGAGAAGGAAGTGCTGGCCACTTGTAAGGCTCTGCGTTTGTATCTCACATAAGAACACAGGAAAGGTTGCAAATGAGAGGGGGCTATTTGGGTCATCTTGCTAATTTGGTTAAGCAGTTAATTTTAAATTTTCTTGGGCCTCAACTGCCTGATTGGGAGTCCATTTCTGGATACCCCAAAAAATTATACATTAGTATATACTGTACAATGAGGTGAAAAAGTAAGTACACCCTCTTAAGATTTTATGGTTTAACAAACTAACAGATAAACCTCACCTCATTTGACAAATAACTCACAGAGTTTTACCTTGTCATTATTTATTTAATTAAGCGGTATTTTTGTATGAAGAAAATATTAAGTGCACCCCTTGATTCAGTAACTTGTGGCACACTGTTAACAGCAATAACATGAATGAAATGATTCCTATTTAACAGCTGACCAGACTCTCACATTGCCTAATTTATTATACCCATCGGTATAGTCAATGCTAGAGTGACTGCAAATGAGTGATTGAGCTCCTCTACTTCTCTCCAACCAGGCCCTCAGGAGCTCCTCCGATTTTATCGGATTTTCAGAACTCAGCTGATCCGGGGAATCTTCGACCGACACCTCTGGGTATCGGTGTGGGAACGCCTGCCCCGGAGTCGGTTCACTCGCACCCAGAGGGTCACATGCTGTGCCCTTACACTGTTTCTGTACCTGGGTGCTGGTGCAGTGTGGTATGGGGCTGTGGGACAGAGAAATAGCAGGTCAGTAGCTGACAGAAAAAATCTTGGAATACCATTCAATTCTAGAAATATTGTGACCTTGTGCATCACAGTAACAGGTGAGGTGTTTGCACCTGTTCCCACATGGTGAAAAACATTCGATCAAAATGAAGTATTAAAGACACAAGAAATTAAAATTCAACCAAATTAAAATATTATGAAATGTAAACTAACAATTTGACAAAAATGTAGGTGTAACAGTAAATCTTTTTCACTTAAAAAATATTTTAAGCAAAATGTGATCAGTAGTAATTCTAATGCAATATATAATTTGTGCTCTTTATATCAGATTATATTTCACTGGAATAATTACGTTTTTTCTCATGTGTTTTGTCAGTGGTCCTGTCTCAGCTCACATGTTGGTGAATGCGGAAATTGTTGCCGTGGGGATGACAGTGGCTGCGCTGGTGTTCCCCATCCAATTGCTCTTCATCGTCCTGTTCAGAATGACCCGCAGCAAGGTGCTCATCTCAATCTCAGAAAATCCCATTCCTGTCTAGCTTGACACCAGGGGACGTGTCAGCACTTGGTTTGATGTAGTGACATGGTTGTGCCCCTTTGCCTGGAAACATACCAGTTAACCAAAATACCTGTACAACCCAAGCTCTACTGGAACTTTCTGTTGCAACTTACAGTACAGTCCTACCCACTGAGTGTCAGACAGGCATTCACACACAGTGCCTATAAACGTTCTGCACCTCCGTGAACTTTTTCACATTTTCTTGTATCAGTGCTTCAGAGTTTAATGCATCTAAAATTAGTTTTATTCCTCTTATCTGTACACCATACTCCCTACAAATTTTAAGGTGAAAAAATATAAGAATAATACTATACTGTATATTTAAAATACACTGAAATATCATAACTGGATAGGTCTCCGCTCATCTCCACATCCTCCCGGTGGAACCACATTGGGCAGCGATTACAGCTGTGAGTCTACTGGGGCATGTCTCTACACATGTCTTTACACATTGAGCTTTGGCAATGTTTAACCATCCTTCTCTACAGAACCTCTACAGAAGCTTTGTCATGTTCCTTGGAGACTGTTGATGGACAACAATCTTCAAGACATGCCACAAATATTTGATTGGATTTAGGTAGATTCTGTGACTTGGCCACATAAGAACATTTACCTTTTTGTTCCTTGGACACTCCCGTGTACAGTAGCTTTGGCTTAGGCTTTTGATGCTGAAATGTGAACTTTCATCACAGTTTCAGCTTTCTTGCAGAAAGAAACACGTTTCTCTCAAGGACATTTCAGTACTTGTTCCATTCGTTGTCCCTTTTATTCTGACACTTTCTGACAATATCACTTATGTTTTTTGTTGCTGTTTTATTCAGTGATGCTTTCTTCGTGGCATCGTGCCATATATACTGTATTTGTGAAGTGCTTGGGATATTGCTGTCACAATATTGTAGACACTTGGCCATAGAAGACTGTGCACTGCCTCCGGGCTCTTTGTAGCCTCTCTGATCTGGTCATCCAATTTGGAGGAACGGGCAGATCTAGGCACAGTCCACCTTCCGCTTCTTAATAAGTGCATTGACGGTGCTGCAAGGGATATTCAAGGCTTTTGAATTTTTTATGCATATCCCCTAATCTGAGCCTTTCCATAACTTTGTCCCAGATGTCTTTTTAAAGCTCTTTGATCTTCATGGTTGAATTACTGCTTTAAAATGCACTACCCAGCAGACGACTCCTATGGGCCTGGCTACATGTACTGTATCTGGAAATCACATAAAATCACTACAATTTCTCACAGGTGGAGGCCAATTAACTTGGTGTATGATTTTGAAGGCGATTGGTTACACCTGAGCTGATTTATGATTGCTATTACAAAGGGGGTAGAAAAATTATACAACCTATTTCAGTTTTTATTTTTAATGAATTTTCTAAAAAAGATCTAAAATATTTTTAACTTGAAAGTTATGAGATGGGATGCATAAGGACTGTAAATGAAAAATAATTTAATGCATGTTAATTACAGGCCACAGGTAAAGGTGAAACTTTTTAAAGGGATTTAAACTTCCTATAGGCAGTGTACAGATGATCAGGTCCCATGGCCAAGAAGGAGCAGCTGTACAGTTGGGTAAAGCCTTGCAGAAAGAGAAAACGTGGTTATGCTTTGAGATGTTGTTATGAAAGAACTGGCAATATTGCTTTGACTTATTTTGTTTGTGCCCTTGTGATCACATCCAGAGTACAGCCATGAGGGGTTTGCTTTCTGTCCTTGGAGTCTTGTGTTCTTTCTTGTGTAAGTGCCTCTGCCTTTCTCCCAGGTGATAGTGGAGGACCCAGAGTCATGTGTCGCTGCCCCACAGACTGTGGAGATGGATGTGTGCCTGGAACACTCTGAGCTGGGCAGCTCCTCCTTCCTGTCTCTCCCAGGGGGACTGGACTCCATCTTGGATGGAGTGTCTGAGTCCTCGGTGAGTGAACCCAGTCAGTGACTTCATGGACAGCTGGATTTTCAAGGTTGTTTGAGGACTGGATAAAAGAAAGACAGGACTTGCTTAATAAAATTTGTAATTCTGTGTAATAATCAATAATTCTGTTTAATCAACGTTTCTCCACTTATTGGAGTCATAATACGGTTATACTTTGTATCTGAATACTGCTGGAACCTAAGGGATGTCACTATTCCACACAACCGAAATTGCTGCTGTACAGTATATATTACTTCTTCTATTGGAATAATTTTGGATTTTTTTCCATGTATGCAAACATAATGTCATATTAAATAGGTATATAGAAGAATAATAGTGGCAATAACATTTTTTAAAGGAATCACTGGAAAGCAGGAGGTCAGAATCATCCCTGGGTATTCCAGCCAAACAGGAGCATGAGAGGTAATCAGTCTTGATGAAGACCTGAAGATTCACTGCAGCACCACGGAGTGTGAACATTCAGCATTCTGTCTCAGGGTTTATACTGTACTCTTTCCATTGGATAGTGATATTTGCAGTATTGTACAGAAAAACCCCAGGGCCCAGGCTCCATATCTGCTTGATGCCAAGCTAAGCTACTATTCCTATTCCTAAGAAATTCAGAAATGTAGTCCTTGCTTGTTTCATGCTGTACATGACTTGTTTTTGTGCTACATAAAGGTTCAGCATGTGAAAAATACTATCTATAAACTTTAAATGTTTATCTATAAACTTGTAGATGTCCCCTTGAAACAGAAGCTAAAATCGTCACCGAATTGTAAATAATTTTTTAAACAGGCGATTTTTTAAACAGGTGCTTCTATGTTTCAAAGCATCAGAAACATGTCCCTACAGACCTGTCCCTGTTTTGGCAGCTCTGTGAACCCCTGGGCCTCCTGTGACAGTATCTTTGACATCCCTGACCTGTTGGCCTCCGAGCCATCCCTGAATCGGGCCCGTATCCTGAAGAGAAAGAAGGCTCTCCTACAACTGAGCATTGAGTCCCCGGCGAGCTCTGCCGATGACCCTCTGGTGCTCTCGTGGTCCAAACCTGAGGTCACACAAGGACTGGAGCAAAACCAGCTCACTGTCTCCGGTGAGGACAGTACCACTTACAACATTTGGCCCAAGTGGTGTTTATTTACTGTCATATCAGATCGGGGACATTTTCCTGATCACAAATGCTGAAATTAGTTTTTCTGAATATTTCTAAATGAAATAACCTTAAATTATAAATTATATAAATTATGATGCATATATCTAGAAGTAAACCTGGAAATCAGTGATTTACCTAGGACTGTGTAATTACCTTTAATTAATGCAAATACCAACTGAATCAAAAATAACCCATTGTATGGCACTGCATGAACTCCTCCTGGGTTTGCTGGAACAATGTAGCTTTTTTTCTTCCAGAGGAGGACCTGATTAAATCCATTGCTGCAGACAACGTGGTACAAAGCACTTCCTCTAGTAGAGTGACCTCCGACAGTGGCCGCTACTCACCCTGCGCTGACACTGAGCTCTCTGATCCGTGAGCACATTTGTTTAATGTTGTTGTTTCCCCCTACAGAACTGATAGGAAACATAATGATCTAAATTGAGCTGTTTCTACAGAGAAGGGAGCTTAAAGTATGACAGTGGTTGTGCTTTAATGTAGGTTGGAGAGCTCCTGCAGTGGATGGTCTGAGTTCAGCGATGAGAGGAAACCATACTCAGGTCAGCTGCACAAAACCAGCTCATCCATTTCAGGACTCACTTCTGCCAGCAGCTTCATTCCCAGTCCCTCGCCAGCTTCTGTGTGCAGCATGTTCTCCACCCGGCTCGGTGAGCACTGCCTCTTTACCCCACACTCACTGATCACGCAGAAGAATTAAGCTTTTCACTACCTGGCTTTTTATCTCCATGACCTGTTGTGAGCTATTTAAAAGCTGGGAGTTCAACATTCGTTTTTCTCTTGGTCTGAATTCTGTTCTTTTCACTACATTTCCAAGACTTTTGTTAGAAACATAATGGTTATAAAGGAGTGAGGGCCATTTTCTCAATCTAATCCCATTTGGCAGCTACTGTAGTAACCTATTGATCCAAGGATCTCAGCCAGCTTTTTCTTGGCTTCAACATCAAGGCATGGGTAGTTTGTCTATACTCCTACAACTCTTTCCATAATGAAGTGCCTCCTGTTCTCAGTTTAAATTGCCCTTCCTTGTAGTTTCCATATATGTCCACTTGTTCATATTCAGGTCCACTTTGTTGACTTTGTCAAAGCCTTTGGTGATTTTCTGTACATGGATCAGGTCCTCTCATATTCTTCTATGTTCAGGACTAATAAAGTTAAGTTCTTTCAGGCTGTTAGTGTAAGACATTATCTTAAGCCGCAGAATGTAATTTGTTGCTTTTCTTTCGACTTATTCTGTAGCAGGAATATTTCTTCAAATCATCGGTGATCACAATTGCCTTGACCTAACTAGTGCATTATACATGTTTAACATTTGAAATTTGAAATGCTAATACTTTATGTTATTGCTAACATTTTATCTTTTCATTGCTTTCCCACATTGTCTGAAAGATGTAAACGATGTTTCAACATTAACATCTACTGTATGTATCAGTTATTGACATAATTGCAATTAATTGCAAGTCTTTCCAAGTTTTGGTCATTGGGGAGTTTGGCTTCCCTATAAAACGAGAAGGTCTGAGGCTCTCAAAGACCAGGAGCAAAAGTCTGTCCTTGTCAGTGTAGAGTGTTCTTCACATTGATTTTTACGTTAGGACAGGGTTCCAGGCATGTTGACCGCTGTACCAGCTATAGTTGATTCGAAAACATTACACTGTGCTCAGGATAAACTATGTGTTCTCGGCCCTCTGTGTCTCTCCTGGCAGGAGTGCCTCGCAGGGCTCCCCGCCGGCTCTTCCCTCCCCAGGTGCTGAGTGTGACCTACCTGCTGGCACTGCTGGTTTTAGGCAGCAGCCTGGCAGTTGCTGTGCTTTATGGCACCACCTTCCATAACTCGGTGGTTCTCATGTGGCTCATCTCGACCTTCTCAGCCTTCCTCACCTCTGCTGTTCTGCTGGAACCTGCGAAGGTAAACCTCAGCAGGGCCTTTTCCCCTGCTGGATTGTAGGGTCAAATACAGGATCAAACCCACGTGTCCGAGATGGGACTGCGTCACTGTGTTAATCCAGGCTCTGCATGGAAATGCAGCGCGACGGGCAGAAAAATACTCTCACTTTTATCAGAAATGAGTCAAATCCCCTGTTTTTATAGGACAAACAAAAAAAAATGTGATCAATGACAGTGATAATCATGGAATTATAGGAGGAGGAGGTCTAGTGAGCAAAGGCCACAACATCAGTGCTCTTCTACTTTAACATACAACACAACTCCATTATTGTATATTTCACCAATTTTTTAATGTCACAGTGACTTCAAATCTAGAACAACTAAGAAATCCCTCCTATTTCAAAAGTTTACAATGTCAACACTGAAGTAAACAGTTCCGAACAGGTCTAAACACTAAATAGGCACATTTATTTATTGGGTTTACTGGAGAGAGCAGATTTTAATATAAGTCTCCCAGATCTATATCAGCTCTCTGAATATAGAATACTGCAGTGGAAATAGGTTTTGTAAAGAATAGGTCTGAGGCTGGTAAAATCAGATGTGCATTCCTGAACTTCTGAGAAGCTATATTAACTGGACAGGATATGCAGAGTAATAACCATTAATTTACTACTGTATATGTAAGAAGGACGCAAATTGTAACCTAAATCTTTGGCATTTTTATAGACCTCCCTCTGGGGTCACAGATCTGTCTAATGGTCCATCACAGGATAACAATGAGTGGATTCATTCCTTTCTCCAGATCTTAATATTTTTCTGTTCTTTCAGGGATACTCTCTCTAGGTTCCAAGGTTTAGAGATAGAGTTGTAAGTTCAGGCTCCATTACACTGTATTTAAAGTAACTATATAAAGTATAGGTGTGTTAATTGTTCACATTCAAGCCAATGATCAAAGACATTTTCATTATATTGCCAGAGTGGAAAGTGTAATGGACGTCAGTGTAATCAGTGTAAGGTTGTGTGTTGACAGGTAATTGTGCAGTCCTTGTTCCTGGCCCTGGTTATGAAGCCAGTAGATCCAGATGAGGATGATACGCTTGTGGAGGAGCCTGTGGTTAAGAAGGTCTCTGAGAGGATCAGTAAGGTCAGGCCGCCCTGTGGCTATGGGTTGCTCCAAGCCAAGGAGGAGGCACGCAAGGTCCGGGCACTGCGCACTCTTATGAAGGTATCTTCTAAGCTTTATTCAAAAGAGCTTTATTCTCTCAAGATAAGATGAGCAAACTTCATTCCTCAAGTACCCTCTGGGCTCAGTCGACCTCTAACATTTATTTCTTTTATTCAGTATTATTTTTTTTAGTTCCAAGGGCACATCACCTGCTTTTGATGGTACAGTGGGCTACAAAAGTATCTGTAAAATGAGCAGAATTTCAGTCAGTAGATCAGAGGATTTCTCTATGCCTGATTAAATAGTGTTATTATTTTAATACTGTGTCTCTGAACACAAATTAATGAAGTCCCAAGTCCCTGTTGGTCAGAAAAGCTGCAGCAAGTGAGCATGCTGGTAAAGCCTGAGTACACAGCACATAACAGAGAGAATGCTTTTCAGCAGAATACAGTGTGAATGTGCAGAAGGCTGAGAAATGGCATTCCCACCCTGCAAAACCAATATCCTCTTAACTAAATACGACACCCTCTGCACTTTGCTGTTGGATGATTACTGAATAACACATCACCCGATTTTAATTTCTACTCTCCTGCACATTCTTTCACCTGATACCACCCCATTCAGCTAATGGTGAAGCAGGAGAATCAGGCGCCTTTGGTGACTTCATGCTACAGCTGTCCCTCTAGCACTGATCATATAACTGATCAAACTGGTATAAACTGATATTACTGGTTAAAGTATGAGAAAGAAAAACAAGGTGATAAGCTTTTCTTTAACTGGGTCTGAAGAGTTGTGGTAGAAGGTATCAGCACTTGTGGATCTAAAATACAATACTATATTGTATGTATGTGTATGGATCAATATTAATAATTGATAACTCAATATGACAATTGGCAAAGCGTCGTCTGTCATGACATGTATTCATGACCTGGTCCCATGCACCAACTGTAAACCTTTCAACCTCTCTCTCTCTACAGAGCTGCATTGCCCACATGATGTTCCTCTTGGTCGTACTGGTTGTGAACTACCAGGATCGTTTACAAGGCGACCATGGTAGATTGTTACACTCTGCTGTCAAGCGGTCGCTGGTTGCAGGTTCTGGGGAAGGCATGAATGTCAGCATGATCAGAGGGTATAACTCTTTTAAATTAATGTGCAGTACATAGTGTTAATATTGAACTACAGTACATTGCAAAGTTCTGTATTAGTTATCAGTTTAGTACATACTGTATTTACAGTATGTAGTCTGTGTTTATTATAGTGATTAAGTAAAAATTAAGTTAAAAAATAGTATACATACATTTTACCTAAAGTATACTTTTACTTAAAGTACTCAAATAATTGCAATTAGAAATATAAAACAACCATGAGATATTTAATTCAAATGCTATGGTGTTTGTGTGTATTGGCTGAGATCTGTGTGTAATGGTATTGTTGCTGGAGAGTGAATTCTGGGGGGCATTATAGTGTTGACGTGGATGAAGAGTGAATTGTCGGAGTGTGTCGTGTTGTTGTGTGTACAGGTTGAGTTCTGGAGGGTATTATGACATTGATGTGGGTGCAGGGTGCAATACTGTATGAATGTGTGTTATGGTGTTTTGGTTACAGGGTGAATTGTGGGGGGGTGTTATGATATTATTTTGGTTACAGGGCAGCAGAAGCTTGGTGCTGGATGCAAAGGAATCTGGTTCCTCATCTGTACCAGAACCCCTCTCTCCAGCTGCTGGGTGTGGCCCGACTGAGAAGGCTGCAGTCTGGGAAAGGTCAGAGCCTGTCCCTTGGTTATGGACAGACTGATGCTGCTGGGCAGACTAGGGCCAAACCTGGCACTTTTCCATAGTGCTCAATTGTGAAACAAAAAAAGAAATAAAACTGACTACTTTTAAAATACATTGCTCAAAGAATGCATTGTTTTTAGGTAAACCATTAGAGAATATTAATGTACACAGCACTGTCAGCTGTGGTTTTTAAAATTACAAATCCTCTTAATGTTTTGGCACTTGCAAGTGTATATTAATAGCCAGCTGAAACAGCAGTATTTGTAGCTTCTTTTAAACCCAGAAGGCTTTGATCTGAGTCGTGTGGATGCTGTTCCTAGGCTGCTGGAACCATGGGATTGCTGGCCTCACCTCCAGGGATATTTCTTTACATCCTACTGTCCACGCTTGGCCAAACACCCACACATGGGACTTAAACTTCCACCAAAACATAAGTTCAAATCACAGACAGCCTTTCCCATCAAATTCCTTCATGTGGTAAGAAACAAAAGTAATCCTTGTGTTTGTTTTTTTCATGTGTAAGGTTTAGTTTGCTATCAAACTTTTGTCACATGTATACAGTATCACTTAGGTGCTGTGTTGCAAAACCCATACAAGATTGGAGAAGAATCTTTTATCCATGCTTTTCATTTTCATACAAGCCCCCTTTGTGGAAAGATCAAGATATTGTTGACCCATGGGCATTTTCTCCCATCTCAGCCACTTATATGTGTAACTTTCAAAGTCACCATTGGCTTCATAGTGGCACATCCTAACCAGTATCCTCCTTGGAGAGATACTCAGTTTGGAGGAACAATCTAATCTAGGCAATATCTATGTACCTTCCACTTCTTAATGATCAACCTCACAATGCTGAAACACATATTAAGAGTATTTGACCTGTTTTATATCATATAATGTTTTATGGATGGCATAGTAGTTAGAATTGCTTCGTTGCATCACCCGGGCCCTGGGTTGAATTCCAGACCTGGGGCTCTACCTGCGTGAACTTTGTGTGTTCTCTAGGGTTTTCTCGTGGTGCTCTGGTTTTTTCTCACAGTACAAAGACATACTGGTAGGTTAATAAGAATAGTCTACTCCTAATGTATACAGTATGTTCAAAATGCTTGAATTGTTTTGAATTGTTGAAGTTGTTGATGTTGACTTTCCCTTGACACTCAAGTTTGGGGCAACTACCAAGGTCCTTAAAATCCCAGGGTGTTTCTCCAAAAGAGTAGGGGCGTTACACTGGCGTCCTGGCCAAACTTCCCTGTGACCTTTACTTATCATGGCCTCCTAATAATCCACATCTGTGAAGGCTTTATCAATCTGTTCTCCTCCCCACTGATAGCTTATGAGCATACTAGTGCCATTTGGCTGCCATCGCATCGTCCAGGTGGGGCCTACACATTGGTTGTGGTTGAAGGGAGTCCCCATTACCTGTAACTATAAAGCACTTTGAGTGAGGAGTCCAGAAAACAGCTATATAAGTGTAATTATATCATCATCATCATCAAGTCATGATGGTATTAATTTTGGATTCTCACAGGCTCTGGTACTTGGGACAGTTTGGGGTTTACAGCAGTGAGGAGGAGGTAGTGGACCTTGGGAACAGCACAGAGTCCACTAGGCAGCTTCTGGCTGAGCTGAGCCAGGCATCTTGGATAAACACAATGTGAGTCTGACCTGTCACATCGATTATATCATACTGAAAACATACATCTGTAGTCCCAATTAGCTCAGTGACTCTTCTGTGGTTTGTGTGGTTAATGTACAGTATCTTAAACAGGACTGTCCTGTTCTCTTCAAGGATGGTCCATGATTCGATAATTCCCTCAGATAATTTTGCTGTTATAAAATGGTTTGTAACATTATACAATATAAATATTTGATTGTGATGACAATTAATAAGTATCAGATTTAATTATCTGAAAGCAAAAATAATTTATTTTCCTAAAAGCATCCTATTAAACTCCTTCCAAACTAGGATATGAATTGTTAACATACTGTATGTCAAATTACAGTGTATGGGTATTTGGAAGAGCTGTATATTAAAAAGATGCATTGTTTTCCTATGACTATGATGAATTGTATTATACATGAATTTATTTTCAGTTAAAAATGTTAAAGATTCTAATACTATTTATAAATTCCTCCAGGACAAGAGGAGTGTTTGTGCAGTTCACCCAGTACCATCGAGACACTGGCCTGTTTGTGGTGGTTACTGTGCTGATGGAGTGGCATCAGCCAGGTTCTGCTATCACCTCTCTCAGTATACTGCCTGTTTGCATGCCCTCCTCTTCCTTAGTCCCGGACCTGCAGGCAGTCATGATGGTGAGACTGCGCTCACATAAGGCAGAGATTTCTCCTACCTCGTCATCCATTGAAGTATTCTAACATTGACCTAAGTCAGTAATTAATCTCATTTGGACAAAAGTCTGAGAGGACTATGCAGCTCTCCTTAGGAAGTGGAGAAATCTCCTGCTGGAATTTATCCAAGGATATTTTTTATAATTCAAGCAAAAAATAAAAAGTACCCTCCCACCAAAATATATATATATCCAGAAAACTACTTAAAAATGCAAATGCTCTGATGATTTGTTGATTTGTGTTAGGATTTCAAAACTTTGTTTTAAATTCAGTAGAGGTGAAATAATCATAGTTATTATTGATCAATTTATGAGAATTTAATTTACCTTGAATTAAAATGTAAATGCAAAAGTCTTTGAACCCCAAAATGAAAAGCTTTGGTCAAGAAAAGGACTTGAAGGAAACTAGCTGAATTACAATATAATTTGTTAAATTTGATGGCGTTACTCAAACATAGAATGTGCTGCCTCCCTTACAGGTCGTTCTGCTTCTGCTTGCCCTGTCCATCCTGGGCTCTGAGCTCCACACGCTGTCCAGGGAGAGGTGCCTGTACTTCAGGCAAGGCTGGCACTACCTTCAACTTCTGGTGGTGCTTCTGGCACTTGGAGTAGCAGCTCTGCACTTCGCCTTCCTGTCCCTGTCAGCCAGCCTGCTGAGACACCACTGCCACAACCGCCACTCCTTCACCAACTTCCACACTGCAGTGGCACTGTCTGAGGCCTCGTCAAGCCTCTCTGCCATCCTGCTCACAATACTCATCCTCAAGGTACTGCACCTGATTTATCTCTTCCTCAGCGATGTTGCTCAAGTAAGAGGAAAAAGAAAATTAATTGTCACAAGTAAATAAAAAGCAAGCGGTGGACAGAACCTTGTTGCTGGATTGATTTCCTGCTTGTCCCCCAGAACGTGCGCCAACTGCGGTTTGTGCGACGCTGGGCAGTGTTCGGGAAGACCATCCAGCTGGTCTGGAAGGAGCTGTGTGGGGCATCTCTCGTCCTGCTGCTCCTTTTCCTGATTCTTGCCCAGACAGGGTATCTGGTAAGATCCTTGCTTCCCCAGCCTGGCTTGCTGTGTTCCTCTTATAGATCAAGTTTTCAAAGTAATTAAATAAAATGTAAAAACAATCGAAGTGGTTGCCAGCCTTTTCTGAATTAGTGCCTGCAGCTCTGTGTATGCAGAAATGTTATTACAATTTTTAATATACGTTGATCTGGATACCCCACTGGTAATTTACAGTTTTACAGTTGTACTACATTATACATTGTATTTGCTGTCATCCAAATGTTACAACCTCAGGCTAGCTTCAGACAGATTGTGTTTAATAGTGAAGAACATCAAAAAGGTTGCAGGCAACTGTAGGCTGTGCAGCTTATCTACAGTATCTTGTTTGAGAAGTGTGACAGAGCAGAGGAATCCGAAGTGATGAAATCTGTTTTTTTTTGCTACTGTAGGTGAGCTAGATTTATACTTAGAAGCCCATTAGATGTATTTTTGTAAAATAAAAGTCTTTAGTAATTTTTTTAAGAAACAGAGAAATAGATGGATTTTTTAATTAAGTACATGGGGAAAATTCTCAATATAGGTATTGTGCTTGTGGGTAGCTTTTCCACATGAACCTCCTTTTTATGGCTAAATGTGTCATTCATCCCCAAGGAAAGCTTTAGAACTTCAGTAGAGAAAACCTGTGATGGAGGACAGGTATCCAGACTGATGCTAGCATATATTCTTTAACCTTCCTCCCTTTCTTAGTTTGTGAACCAAATCAGTATGCTGCAGCTCTCTCCCTGTTTCTATTATTATAAGCTTTCACTTTTTTCATCCTTTACTGACAATTGCAAGCACTCCACCCACTCCAAATCTACCAATAGTAGAAACATACTCAGAGAGTGAGCTTGACCTGCATACCGATTTTAAGCCTCTCTCTGTATTACTGAATCTCCAGTGGAGCTTGAATCTTAGAAATATAACCCTGTCCTTTTTACCAACATAACTCCTTTAACCTGGGGAAGGTCAAAAGTTCTCCTAAAAGATTCTCTGTATGGGGGCTCCTACCAAAGTCACCATCAACTCACAAGCAGGCTCTTCAGAAAAAGAAACTTTACTGTGAATTTGTAATACATACAAAAGCACATTTTAATCTTTCACAGCTGCAGTTCACTTAATTAACTGTGCTCTTGTGAGAATGTCTGCATTTAAGCCATTCTTGGCACTGTTTATGGGGTCTCTATGGTTTTTTGACTGAGCCTGCCCCCTTGTGGATCAACCTTATATTGGCCATCCATTTGTAGTGCCACAGTACAGGTACATGACTTTAAAAAAAAACCAAATTAAGTATTACTTACAGTAAATGAAACATTTAAAAATGTATTTTATAGATCAAAACTTTAAATGAAAAACCGAAGGGAAGTTAAGTTGGAAAGAAAACGTAAGACCTTACGGGTATGTAGCAGGCGGCACTGTTTTCAGTGACCAGTTCCACAGCTCTGATACAAAAGCAAAGTGGTCATGTGTGGCACTTCTGGTCATTCTCATATAAAATTGTATAAATTGCATGACGTCTGTAAGTTGATTCTACCCCATTGTTTCAGTATACAGACAGTTCCTTAGTGGCATGTTAGAACCATGTACTATATGCACATAACTATAAATGTGTCCAACTACTGCAATAGCCTCACCAAAACACTCAAGCAGAGAGCAGTGACAGAACTTAGTACAACTAAACACCTTGCAGAATGGTAAATAAAATCTGAGTGATAAAAACATCTATGGTTTTTGACACTGTAAATATTCAATAATATAGGTCTTGACATTAAAACTATATTGCATGGCTTTAGGTTTTCTTAATACCATAAAGTGTGTAAAATAGATTTTACAGGGAGATTTGTTTCATAACCTCTTCTACTAGAAGCCCTACAAGGCTCTATCCTGGGCCCTATTCGTTACTCAATCTATTTTTAACAGTATTCCTCAGCCAGTAATGAACTACTGTATCACACTCACTCTTATGCTGCTGACACCAGTGTATATTTAAGTGCACCCACTGTGCCATCAGTAATGTCAAATTGGCAGCTTAGTTTTGACAAAATACAATATTCTCCAGGCTTTCTGAGAAATTTTCTTGAAATATGCTGAGTTTAAATAACACAATCTGCCCCCTTCTTAAAAATCATAATGCTTTAACTTTCAAAACTCAATCTTTAGAAATTACAAGATAAGCTAAGTCTAGGGTTGGTATTCTTAATCACAACAAATCTTGTTTTACATGTTTCTGTAGGCATAGACTGAAGGTTGTGGGAGTATGGTACTGTATAAGTGGCCCAGCCATGTTGTTGAAATTAGCCTTACTTCTACAGAGAAACCCTGGATGAGATTCTTGCACCAATTATCTACTAACATCCAGACAAACTAGATGGGCTAAATAGATTCTTCTGATGTACCCTAGTTGAAATATTCATACTGCCTACCAGCAGCTATAGCGGGGAGTTTATAGAATGGCTTGGGATGTCATTCTGACCCTCTCTCTGCAGACCAGATGAAGCTTGACTTTATTTAAATAAATTAGGTCTTTAATTGGAAAATTAATCACTATCCTGTTCTAGTTTTATATACATCCTACAGTTTGAAATGTAGTATTACAGTAGACCCTTGGTTGTATGGAATATTAAGGGGAAGGGGTGTTTGTTATTGCCAAATGTCCATCGTTTCAGCCCAAAACACATTATTACATGAGAAAAAAAAGGTAAGATCACTTTATTAGCTATATATAACTTCTTGCATTAGGAATTCATCTTTTCACATACCCCAGTTTGCTCTCCATGAGACATACAGGCACACAGATGGAGAGAGAGAAGCTTGGGGTCAGAGCGCAGGGTCAGCCATTTATATGGCACCCCTGGAGCAGGTGTGGTTAAGGGCCTTGCTCAGGGGCCCAATGGAGTAGGATTGCTCTGCTGGCTGTGGGATTTGAACAGGCAACCTTCTAGCCACAGGCACAGATCCTTGGCCACAGTGCCACTGCTCTGCCCCTGTATGTAAATATAGTATACTCTATATCCTTAATGGATCTTTGGACTTATTTTTTAAGAGTTGCAACCAATGATGTCAATAAAAAATGTTCCTGTGCCGCTTTTCTGATTTTATAGACATAATTCCTCCCTGCAGCATTTACTGACTTCACTTGCAAGTCCTTTCAATCTGTTGCTCCTGCCAATGACTGGAACAAATTGTTGAGTGAGATGAAACTGTCCACCGTTGTATCAGAAGGGGGTTTCCATTGTAGGGTTTAATTTTTTCCTGCCTGACAATTGTTAACACTATCATGTCCTTATCTTTTGTGTTCTGTAATATTATTACTATGTTAGGCTCTCTGTTTGACCACTCTCAGAGCTTATACTGTAGGTATAATAAGCTCATAAACATGCAGCTCCATGTGTGTCTGATGGATAGAGAAAAGTGAATTTAAAAACCAACAACAGCTGGCAGCACCAGGGTTCTGGTGTTAAGCAGCTTGCTGATTGAAAAGTACTTGTAAAACCTGCAGGAGCCATGTCCCCAACACTTGATTTGCTTGTCCCTGTGCCACACCAACAGACAGGCAGCCCATGGCAGCTGTTTGTCCAGTATGGGGACCCCCACTGAGGGACCTTGTACACCTAAAGCCCTGTAACGTGACAAGAAAGTAAAAGTTCTCCTGATTAGAAGTAAAATATTAAATTAGCACAGAATTGTTTTTTTTCTCCTTCAAACTGTTGCTGTCTTGTCCCTGTATCTGCTCTTAGCTCTTCTCCGACACTGTGGAGGAGTTTAGGACATTTGGATGGACGTGTTTCTCCCTGGCCTCTGGGCTCTGGGGGAAAACCCGCCTGGGGATAGTGGCTCACAGACACCCTATCTCTGGTCTGCTCTACCTCCTGACAGTCCTGGGGGGACTAATGTGGGTCCTCAGATGGTTGTTTGGCACCATGCTGATTCAGAGCTACCGCGCCATACAGACAGAGATGTACAGGCCGTCCATGGGCCCGCAGGACTATGAGATGGTGGAGTTTTTCATCAAGAGGTTCAAGCTGTGGATAGGAATCAGCAAGACCAAGGAGGTACTTCCTCATGTATAAGCTTTAGACAAAGGAAAACTTCCTACCAGAGCAAAATAGCATAATAATGGAACATTACAGTAATATGTGGTTCAGGTGGATAGCTGTGTCAGCGTAGTCTGCAAAGGAACAAGTAATACGTTTATTCCATGCTGAAAACACAAGAGAGAAAACACGTGTCACACCTGAAGAAGGCTCCACAGCCGAAACGTTGTGTTTCCCTCTTTTCTTTTCAGCATGGAACAAACATATTACTTGTTCCATAACAGAAATATTTTGTGTTTTACAGTGTGAGCTTTGCTGGTTCACCAAGATAGAGAAAGACATTTTTTTAGCGCTAAGATGTTCTGATATGACATATTGAAAGGTATTGTACTATAATGGCTTACCATGCATTTTATTTGTACTTGCAAAAGGAAATATGTATATGTTGTGATCAGTTGTTCCTGTTACTACCTGTTTTAAGGCAGTATTTATACTTTTCCTTTAGTGGAGTTTGATTGAAGTCAAACATGCAGGCCTTTGCTGTCTGATCTACATTAAAGGATGACAGGGGACAGGGTAAAAAGTTATCAGGCAACTGAACTAGCAGCAGACGGGCATAGAGAAAGAGAGTAAAAAGTATACGAATTTTCAGAAAAAGTGTTTTTAAGACAAGGTTTAGGTCAGTGGCTCCCAAGCTTTCCAAACATTTTGTGGACCACTACATGCAACTAATTTCTTTTTACACTCCATTAAATATGTAAATCTGTCATTACAACAAATAAATTATCTGCACTCAGTAAACATGTTGTGCACACTTGAAGTGAAACTCTAATTCATTACTTAAACAAATATATTTGTCAAGATTAATAGTGTATGAACATGTGCATATTGAGTAACTTATTGAGTAATGACATATCTTGTAATATTTCATTGGCAGGATGAGTAGTTGGAGTATAGACAGTTTTAGCTTTAAATCTGTTTCTACATTACATTTTTTATTTCCCTTTAGCAGTCTAAAGAATAACCAGAGATCTGTAGGCCACAGACTGGGAACTGCTGATCTAGGTGTTCCTGACATACTGCATAATTTTGGATGAAATGGTTAATCAGTTACAAACATTTCTATTTTCTTTTTGTTTGCTCACATTTTCTTAATGGACACCATTATCACGTCTTTTGCATATTGACACTGTCTTTTTCTTTCCTTATAGTTCAGACACAAAGTGAAATTTGAAGGGATGGAGTCTTTGCCCTCAAGATCATCTCATGATTCCAAAATGTCTGAGCCCGTTTCATGTGGCCTCGACCCAACTCGCCTGGGCTCAGCCCTTTCCCTGGGTTCAGAGGACTCCAGTGTTTCAGAGAGCAGCCACTCAGAGGATTATGATGTCTGTTTCTACATGGATCGCCTCCTGCCCACTGTTAACAACCTCCTGGCCCAGTTTGACCGTGTCAACAAGGTCATCGAGGACCTTTACCAGATTGAGGTCGACCTTCAAAAAGCACAAAGCCAGATTTCTGAAAAACGCAAACAGAGAAAGAAAAGCCTGATAAAGCAGCCAACAACAGCTCCCCCTCATCTCTTGCCTTCTCTTCCTCCCTTATCCACTGTCTCTGGCACTCTCAGACTGCCTCGAACCCATACCACTTTCTCTGAATCAGCCCTCTCACGCCTACGCCCACACTGCAGCCAGGTGTCTGACCCTGGTCTTTTTGACAACTGTGTCCCAGTTCGCAGGCCTTCCCTGATGGACACTGGGGTAACAAGAGTCCCAGGGCGGAGAGCCTGGAACTCAGGCCCGTCTCTCTCTGCTGACATCACTCAGAGACCTTACCCACCTGCTGGCAGCACAGTCAGAGACCGTCCAAAGAGCGAGGAAGGAAAAAGAGGACAGAGAAGTGACCAGGCACCAGTAAAGAGGAGGGCTTGGCACCATGATGGGACATGAGAACATGAAAAATCTTGGGAAAGAAATTGAGTGATAGGATTCATTGACTATGTATTAACAATGAAACACCACCACTACATCAGAATAAAAGCTCTGAGCTTTCAATGTACTTCAAGTGGCGGTTGACAATTGAAGTACAATTGTAGGAGCCTTCTTCAGGTGTGAGAAGAAGGCTGAAGAACCTGAAGAAGGCTTGAAGACCTGAAGAAGGCTCCAAGGCTGAAACGTTTTGTTTTCTTTCTTCTTTTTTTCAGCATGGCATAAACCTATTACTTGTTCCTAAAGGATTGTTGTATTGTTTACCTACAGTGACTCAAATGTTTAAAGTGTATCTTTTTTGATAATTGAAAATCATTAATTTTTCTCTTTTACACCCTTTGCTTGGAATCACTAGTTGTCAGTAAACATTATTACCTTTGCACCAATTTAGACTGAAGAGGCGGTGTGGTGTAGATCTCACTGACAATACTGTCAGTATAGCTTACAGGCATGGGATGAATCACGGGGGTCACTGTTGCACAGCAGACTTCTAGCCAGGTCAATCCAACTCACTCTCTGAACCGTGGGCACAGCTGGACTACAGGGACTAATGCGGGCTCCTGGGAGCCCTACAACACATTTGAATATAACATATAATGTATATGTACTCAGTGTTAGTCTTACCTTGACAAATTTCAATGATTGTACTCCAAACAAAACTGTGCATGGAACAGTAATGTGATGATTATTGTGGTATAAAATATACAAAAAAAATATCTATAGCTCATGAAGCATTCCCAAAACAGTGTATACACCACAACCCTTCATAACTTCACACAAAAGCAATAAAATCAGTTCACAAAGTCAGGATCTTGTATGGCCTCCATTATTATGGATGACTATAAAACATCTGAACCTCACAGAGAGTCTGAGGATGGATTTTTCTAGCTGTTAGACTACTGTCTGAAGGCAAGTACGGAGATACAGTTTGTGTATCTCTGTCTTGTGACTGGGTCATCACACAAAGACATTCTGAACATGCTCTAACATTGCCAATATGTTTGATATTGTAATATCTCTGAAATCATCGTGCACTAATGGTACGTCTGTGGCGTGTTCCAACAGCTTTCTTGAAGCCTGAAGACCACTCAAAACCAAATATTTTGTTTAGATTTAGTTTTTTAATGTGTCTTTGTAATAACTTTACTGTAAATGTAATTTTTATACTTTGGTTCAAGGAATGTCTGACAATGCCTGCTTGAGTGCTCTCCTTTGTCATCCTTCTTCATGTGAAAGATGTGTACTGTATGGTTGTACTGTAGTTCATCCAATGTGGGAATCACAGAAATCCAGACTTCCCTTAACAGAGATTACTGTGGTATTTCTAGATTAAAGCACATGTAATAATGTAATGTAATAGCACACAGAAAAAGAATGAGTCTATGGCAAAGCTTAGTGTGCACATTGTAAAATAAAAATAAGTAAAGTTAAACTAATGGGAAATGGCAGATTTAGGTGGTTAAACTGTGAGAAGGGTTATATAGGGAACCCCACATCTTACTGTTATGCTGTATATTCCAGTAGGGCACAAAGTGGAATTAATTTAGATAATCCGTTTCTGACCATCTCAAACATTCTACTTCAGTGACATCATCAGAATGAGACTCTTCATGTGTCATGAACTTAACATGCAGTTGAGTTTATATTAGAAGAAATACAAAATTAGCCATATATAAGCTTATAACTATTAAAGTTAATAAATTATAGTTTATTATATTACAAGATATCTCTGTATAGAAAAGTGAAGTTAAAGTTCATTAATACATACATCTCATGTTGGTGTAAACGTGGCTCATTTTGCTTGAATATGAAGGGTTTATGCACTCTGTTTATGCCATTGCTTACTGCAATAGTGTAACTACTTTCTGGTATTTGGTTTGCAAAGAACTTCTCTATATCCCTTTTTTATAAGACCAGTTCCTTTTAATAAGGTATTTGAATGTAGCTGTTTACTGTAGATTATGTAATGTTACTGTACGTAGTACCAATTAATTTGTACAAAGTATAATTTTTATGTTACGTGGTCAAGATGTTTCAGGTATAGTTTAGTCTTGTTGCAACACTTCAGTAGTTAATGCAGCTCTTAAATGCATGTATTTTTAAACATATTTGGACTTTTTTATGCTGGATTTCCTTAAGAGACAATAAAAGATGCACAAGATCTTAATTGCTTTGAATTTTGAATATTCATTAAAATGATCAAGAAAGTCTCAACCAGACATCAATGGCATATAGTGCAGAGGAGTGAAGAATGGACAGCTCTGTGCTGGGAGTTTCTAAATTTTGCAAAGGTAGCATTGGTTCTATGCTTAAATCATATATAACCTGGAACAGACTATCTTCTGTAATGTATATATACATTATAAAATATTAGATGAATTGCCCGCTTTCAAAAGCCAAGATGGAGTTGATATCTGACACTCATGGTTTGGACATCCATCCTAGAATTGGAGAAATTACACCCTACAGTTCAGAATTTATTCCATGAGCTGACGTCAACCTGAAAAAGAACCAGCTTGATCCACAGAGGAAATAAATGGTTGCATTAGTAATTAAGAAATCGGTTATAATACACCAGAAGATGTGATTTGTAAAAACTTGACTTGGACATTTCTAACGTTAATTAAAAAAGGGTTTCTTTGTGCTCTTTGTCTTTGTTTCACCATTCACCTTTACAAACCATTGGATTATAAGTGTTCCTAAAAGATGTACAGTATCATTGACAAGCAGGTATAGTTCATTAAGTAGTATTTATTATATTTAATAATACATCAGTAATATTGTCAGATGCAGAATGTCCCAATACCTATGTTTGTCTTTAAATACATTGTTACATACATGCACTAGTGGTCAAAATAGTGGACAGTTTTGTTTTATGCATACTTCCTGAAAATCAACCAGCAAATGTGAGTTACAATTACAACGTCATTGACGGTGTTAATAAGACTTGGTGTTTAGAGGACATTGCACCTACCCTAAACTACGTGTAATAAGTCATTTTCAATTTGAATCAACACGTACATAATTTCATTTGTTTTAATTTTTTTTTTTAGTTTCAATTTAAGAAGTACAGTAGTTGAATTTGAATCTCTACGCCATGAGTTTTTGATATCGCCCTCTTTTGGTCACTGCTGTTTCTGTTTCTGTGGTGCGCAGGTAAAGTCACCACAGTGCCCTGACTTCCTTCATAGATGGAAGTCATACGTCGGGTGTCAAACATCCAGGCTTGGACCTGGACACTGTTTATTAATAGACGCGTAGTGACCTCACGTCTTCCTTGCAGTTTTTTAAGCTCAGCCCCAGTTTGGTTAGGAAGAGACGGATCTTTCCCTCTGCAGTGGAAGCCTGCATCTCAACTGAAGACACCTAAATGCACGGCCAGGTAAAAAGAAGCGTAGTTATCGTATAATATATACTGTATACAATGATTATATTAAATTAATAACATATACAATTTGGCATTAGTAATAAATGTAGTTTTCCAGAAAACGCCACTGTAGCTGTCAGTAAGTGCGTCACTGCAAAACAGCTGTGCATGTAAATATATATCTTTAAGAAAAACATTTGTGCTGGGGTAAAAAGTAAAAATATCTCAAGATTTGGTTTGCTACTTGTAAGTTGTAGCAACGATGAAAATTAATATTGTTGAAAGAAAATGACGATTTAATACAATTTTAGCGACAACGGTTTCTTGTCAATATCACGATTCCGGTGCAAATTAAATATGGGAAGTTATTCATTACAAAAAACCGCTCCTTAGCAGAGCCCATCCGATAATGCTACTCCGATAATGTCCACAACAGACTGCACATTTGAAGTGTTTCCGTCAATACGGGAGTAGGTCCGGGTCCATACTTAGCGCTGCATTGCGGGAATTGCAGTCCCAAACAGTGGCAACGTTTTGTGCTGCAGTAGTTACTGTTTTCTATTAATAATAACAACAATAACAATAACAACAATAACAACAATAATAATAATAATAATAATAATAATAATAATAATAATAATTAATTTAAACAGTTATAAGGCTCACAGTAGTATTATATACAAATGTATAAAATGTATAAAAAGGTTTGTTAAAAGCCTGTTATGTCATTACTGTATTCGCATTAATCTATAAAAAACGTCTATACTAAATTAGAAGTGACTAAATTAAAAGTCTAAACGTTTAGGTATTCTTAGGAAACTGCTTTACTTTAATCATTTTAATTCCCACAACTACATTATTTTGTGTGATACAACCTACAATGTAGATTGTAACCATCCTGTGCGTTCTGTTGCTTTCCGGCAACTCTTTGGTCTCTTGGTCACATACAGTATGCTATTATGTGGCCTTTTCCCAGTAGTGGCTTCCAGCTAGCCACTCTCCCATGGTATACGGTTTTTCATGGACAATTTCTCTGACCTCAGCTGTGAAACTGTTCTGTCATGGTGGCCATTGGGTTCTTGGTCACTTCTCTGACCAAGGTCCTCCATGATTGGTGGCTCAGTTTGGGATGGTGTCCTGCTTTAGGAAGATTCTGGGTTGTTCCATATTCTTTCCATTTCTTAATGATGGATCTGACTTTCAGCATCCTAAATATGTTTTTATAACACTCTCCAGAGCTGTGCCTGCTCGCACTTCTGGCATGGATTTGTACGTAGAGTTCCTTGGTCTTCATGATAGAGTTTCTGTAAACTGAAAGAACTTACATAGACAAGCTTATTTTTTCTGCAATCATGCCAACCAAATGAACTGTGGAGTCAATTGGATAAACACTATATACTGTACTCCAAATTATATCTGTTATTTGACAAACTGTTAACATTTCTGCACAGATGCCTTCATCAGGACCCCACCACAGGGCAGTTCATCATTACAATTGAACCTGTATATTCCTCAAAACACCAGTGTTTTTGTACCATGCCAGGAAATCACAGGTTGACACAAAGTGGCTGATAAATCTTTATACTTCTTATCTACAGAAATAAAAACTGACTTACTATGGGATTTTATGGAGCTCTTATGGCCTTTAGAAACTATTCACCCCCTTGGATGTTTTCACAGTTTGTTATTTTCAGAGGCTAGTTTTACAATTCAGTCTCTGGTCTTTTTATCGAGTAAATCTGTACAGTTAGCTGGATCATACAGGTCATATTCAACAATCAGATCATAGCATAGGCACACTTCCCATTGTTGTTGCATGCATTTTGGGCTATATCCTTAAACATGGAATGGGAAATAAAGAAAGTGCATGTATGTTTCTGTTCTGTCTGGTGGCAGGCTCAATTTCTTTAAATCGGCTGTGACCATGGCAACAGGAGGTGAGGACAAAGGGCCCCCAGGATTCCCTCAGCACACAAACCGGCTGAGCATGGAGAAGTCCCCCTATCTGCTGCAGCATGCACACAACCCCGTGGACTGGTGAGCAGCTGCCACTTTATCTTGCTTTCCTATTGCTCTCTGCATCATTGCCCTCAGGGCTTTAGAGTTGGGAAAAGAATATGGCTGAGTGGCACAGGCAAGCAGATTTGCAATTGCCAAGGACTTCTGTTTTTCCTGAAGCAGTTGGGTTTGAAAGGGTCTATTAAGATATCAGTGCAATGTCCAACGGTATCTTTTCCTATTTGTCCTGTGTGTAGCTATTTTACATAGTGTTTTAAGGCTTTTCTGGGTGTGCCACCTGTGATGGGACTGTGATGAGTTCAGTCCCCAATCTCACTCTCACAGGCAGACCTCCATGAGCCTGGCTCATGGAGCTGAAACACATGCCCAGCCTGACACGGTGAGCTAGAATACTCCTGAAGGACTGGGGGACTGACATCACCACAAGAGTGTCAGTGTATTCTGTGAGCTAATAACCTCTGGGCTCTTGATTTACTCTTATTGTGGCTATTTCGGTGTTAACAAGAGCTGAAAGTTTAAAAACAAAGCCTTCTTATATTGTTATTCTTTCTTCAGGTTTCCGTGGGGTCAAGAGGCGTTTGAGAAAGCAAAGAGAGAAGACAAGCCCATATTCTTGTCAGGTACTTAATTTACTGTTGGGTCTCTGCATAGCTGCATTGTGACCCTTACAGCCAAAACAAATTAAGAGAAACAAATCAAAGCAAATCATTGGTACCCTGTATCTGAAACAGGGTTAGCCAATAATCTATGAAGTGTACAGGTTGGTAAACTACATACAGTATTTTATTTACAGTAAGCCAATACATGTGCTGATTTAGGTTTGACAGACATACTTCCTCGATATTTATTTAACAAGCGTCCAGACCTATCTACGTGTTAGCTGTTTATTAATGGTATATTTCGGTTGTCACTCTGAGTATAGCCTGTCATGTAGCCTGTTCTTTTTCTCATGTTGTTTGGGTGTACAGAAGTTCAAAAGGAAAGAATCTTCCATTTTGTTGATGTGGTTGATGTAAGTAAGTTAAGATGTAAGGGATAATAACACATGAGTCTCTGTATCTCTCTGTGCCACAGTGGGCTACTCAACTTGTCACTGGTGCCACGTGATGGAGCGCGAGTCTTTTGAGGATGCACAAATCGGCAAGGTTCTCAGTGACAACTTCGTGTGCATCAAGGTAGACAGGGAGGAGCGGCCAGACGTGGACAAAGTTTACATGACTTTTGTGCAGGTAAGGAGTCATCTGTCCCACAAGCCACATCATTTGGAGAGACTCTGTGAATAAAGGTGCCAGGTGCACTTGGCAGAACTGCCTGTAAATGTTCCCATTCTGAAAGTTTCATTCTCTTCCTGCCTTAACGACCATGCCTGAAACAGGTTAGTTACAGAAGAGATTAGTTGCAGACTGAGGAATGTCGCATCTACCAGCCAGAGTTCAAGAAAACATTGTTTTGGGAAAACAAAAGCATGTTTTAGAAGTAATCTTGGTTGTTCCCAAACAAAATTCAAAATTTTCATTTGTGTAATTGCTAATATGAAAAAATATATATTTTTATTACATTTTAATAGCTCTAACATCTTCTTTCTTGTAAGACAATAACTCTCAAGTACATTATAGAAAAAATGGTACAAAACTTTAGGACTTCATAAACTATGTAAAATAGGAGACTGAAAAATATCTGCTTTTATAGAAACAAAGTGTTGAAACTGAGGTAAGGCCTCAAATTACAGTATTTTGAGCAATGATTCAATTTAGTTAATGTTTTTATTAGGATTAAAAAAATTATAAACGTAAATAGGAAGATTTCTCTAATAAGGCTGATAGGGCACAAGATTTCAGGAGGAGAAACAAATAGGGTCATCATTGATGGTTTTAAGCATTATGCAGTGCTTTATACTTCACCTTAATTTAAGAAGTATTCATGTCTTGTATGATAATTATTTTTTCTTTTCTTCATTTGTCATCTCTAGATTTCAAAGCTCATCATACCTTTTTTTTGGCTTTGCAGCAATTTAGTGGTGGTGGTGGCTGGCCAATGAGTGTATGGCTAACCCCTGACCTTCGACCTTTCATTGGCGGCACATACTTCCCTCCAAAGGACAGCTTGTATAGGCCCGGCTTCAAAACAGTTCTGCTCCGCATCGCAGAGCAGGTGACTTTATGTTCCCTAGCTTGTCTGCATACAGTCATTTTGCTGCCTGCACTGTTTGAACAGAGTGTTCTTAGCATTAAAGCCCTGCTGTTTCACAGTCTTGAAAACAGTGACAAAGATTGTGACATCCTGTATGGTACAGTATGCTTTGCAATGTGTATACTATGCAGCCCTTTTAATATAGCTATGAAACATCTTCACAACAGAAGATGATTTTACTTTACAGTTGTTTACGATTCCCACTTGTCGTCCACATTGTGCCTTGTCGGGAGCTGTTCTTATTAGTTCTGGTTCTCAAATGTGATGTTGTATTTCATTCAAACTGAACACGCATGTTGTCCTTTCTGCCTTGGGTAATTGAAAATGATTATCTCTACTGCTGTTCAGTTTACAAGAGCATATGTCTTGTTTTTATTGCATACTGTATCTAGTATAAGATAATGCATTTTATAACAAAACAATACTGATGGCCCAGGATTTTATTCTCTGTATTACAGATTATTCTGCAGCATGTCTGTTTATATGAAGGAAATCTAATCATTTTAGTATGGAATGTGCAGTTAGTATAAATTCCTTGTAATAATATACAAAGATGCTTAGTTTTAATTGATAATCACTGATATCCAGTACAAATTGGCAGTCAAATTGATGTTTATGCCAAAAAAAAATGTTTTTGTTATTCTTAAGGTCATTCAGTTTATCACCTTAAAAACAGTCCATTTTCAAATTTGTTTACTTCATACTCATAAATGTTAGTGATTTCATAATACACTGAATTGCGCTTCCATAAAATTAATTTGCATAGATTTATTATTCGCATAACATACTGTACATTTACTGTTCTCATTCTGAGAAATGATTTTTCCTGCCATTTTAATTTCTAACAAAGAGTAACCAAGATCCTTTGATTTGACTGTCAGTTGGCTTCCATCATTCCTACATCTTTCTTCTTTGCCAACCCAACTGCGTTCTCAGACTGATCTGAAAGTCTTGGGAGTTTGTTCATTTTCATGAGTTAATTTCCTTATGTGTCTCACTCCTTTCTTTTTCAGACTTTAGAAATAATACAATATGTTTGGACAGTTTAATTCTCACTTTTGTCTCTATACTAATAATTTAGATGAAACGGAATGTTATTGCAACACATTTGAAGTGTGTTCTGTAAATGCCAGAATATTTGTATATAGAGGGCGTGAATGCAGCGGTGTGTGTCTGTGTGCTACTGCAGTGGAAGAACAACAGGGATGTGCTGGTAACCAAAAGTGAGCGGATCTTGGAAGCACTTCGGAGAGGAACAGCTATTACTGCCAAGGCAGGACAGATGCCCCCCTCTTGCCCAGATGTGATGGAGAAATGCTTTCAACAGCTGGCCAGCTCATACGATGAGGAGTATGGAGGATTCAGCAAGTTCCCAAAGTTCCCCACACCAGGTCAGGAGCCCTGAAACTCCAGCCAGCAGGTTACAGTAACATAGGTAGGACTACATGAAAGGCAGTCTTTTGGTGTGTATTTATCAAGAAGATCAAGTAATCAAGATATCTACTGCTCCTTCAATGTCCACAGAGATTAGTTAACCCAAGCTTTTTAAGCAAAATAAATGACAATTTTCTGAGAAAGAAAAGAGTGTAGAATAAAATACTTATTTTAAAATAAAAAATAAGTTATAACAGCATTTCTGTTTCATAATTTCATAATTCCTCCAGCTGTAACGTATTGTGACCATCAGTAAAAGGAAGCACCTCTGGTCCTCTGTCCTGAATGTAACTATATTGAAATTCCATTCATGTCTTCTGGTCCTAGTCTCTTTTCTGTTTGAATGTCATTTTTTATGTTGAGAAAGAGCCATGCTGAAATGTCAGACCTCACTATACTCTAGTGCATTTTGAATTCTTTTTGCTTCTAAACACAATGCACTGCCTATTTTCTGAACATTACGTGGAAGTAATTTTGCAAGTTTGCAGATGAATTTGTTGAACCCACATAAACAAAGGGTTCAGAGGCAGCTTTCCTGGTTTGCCAATGATTGTTTGACTAATTAGCTGACATCAGTCAATACTCTTCTCAAGCTAGAATTCTCCAGCTGGGGTCAGAATCCATGCGCTATCGACAGTCAAATCTCAAATCTCAGGAGACACCCTGGACGGGATGCCAATCCATCGCAGAGCAATGACTTCACCATAGCTTATCATAATCGGTTTGTTTATACAGTATTAAGATGATTCCCCATTGTTAAATTTATCAAATTAAACTGTAATCTAATATATTATTTTGCATTTTCTTTGGTGATACAACAGAAACTCCACCTTCACAGCAAAAAGAAACGCTGGGAAGGTATTCAGGAAGATCAGGATCTTTGGTCAGCCAATAAAGGTGAAGGCAGAAGGAATTAATCCGATTCCACAGAGCTCAGACTTTATTTTCTCTGTGCCTTTCCAGTGAACCTGAATTTTTTCTTCTCATACTGGGCGCATCACAAGACCTCCCCACAGGGTGCCTTGGCACTGCAGATGGCACTGCACACACTCAAGATGATGGCACTGGGTGGGATCCATGATCATGTGGCACAGGTAACATCTCCATCTCCTTCCATTGCTGCATCATTCCCTGGGAAATCGGGTGTTTATTTAACAAAGGTGAGGTTTTGATGAGTGGAATCTATAGGGAAGCGCATTTAAATTTGAGAAAAGAAGGCACGTCTTAGGGCAAAAGATTTTGTGTTGAAAAATCTACTCAGTCATTGTCGAAGGATCTTTCAAGAGACAGCTGGGTGAAATCCTTGGATCAATCAGCAACAAGGACCTAAATAAGCTAGATAGGTTAAATGCCAACTTTTAGCCTACACCATTCTCAAATAAGCTTAGGGAGGTACAGTATGTCTGTATCCTACATCATCTGTAGTCAAGCAGGTTGAGAGGACATTGGATAGTTATATGTCTAACCTCTATTGCCTGTGCACTGTCAGTGTAAGAATGTTCATTGTGGAGACTGATGGGTTGTTTGTGTCATGGCTTCAATATAGAAGGATTTCCACTTCAGTTTACCACAGCTGTGACATTTTCTTCTCAATTGGCTTTTCTCATAATGATTGCCCCAGATATGCCAAGATATTTGGCATTGTGCTGTCCATTCTAGCCATAGTCAGAATGGCCTGAAGCGCACCTCGGGTCATCTCATAATAGCAGCATTCTCTATAATTTGTCCACTGGCTGTCGGCCCACACAGATGTCCTATACAGCATATACCTGACTGCAATTATCTTTTTTTAACTGATACATTCAAAAATTTACAATGACCATAAGCCATTGAATAAGCGCAATTTAAGAACTGCCACCTTTCATTCATTTGTATTGAATCGGTAAGGGTTGATGTGTTCCCCTGTCATAACCATGAGTTTGTTAATGTCACAGGGCTTCCATCGCTACTCCACAGACTCCACTTGGCATGTTCCTCACTTTGAGAAGATGCTATATGATCAAGCCCAGCTGGCAGTGGCTTATGTTACAGCTTTCCAGGTATGTTTGTAGAATGCCAGTCGGAGGCATGTAATGACCATGGGCTCGCCACTAGAGGATGCTAAAACTTGCAATTCACTTCTAAATGGTGCTCACCATTTGTAAACAGTTGCATCTGTGAACATTAATTGTATGGAATATTGGAATTCCCACACTGGCTTAATTACTGGGTTCTGTCTGTATATAAGGGTGTTGGTTTGTTCCCAGAGGTGGAAAGAGAGAGCCTGGATTGTATGTTCTTTTGGAGTGTGGTGTGGTTTATGTGCAAGTATTCCTGCTGGCATGCTATTACAAGTGGGGATTCTCCACAAATAACCTTAGTCCTGTGGTGTCAGCTGAATCATGATAAAGTGTTGTGGACACAACTTGCGTTGTGTTTCCTGTGCACTCATCTTGCTAGCTGTGTAGAGAATGGCTGGTAGCTCAAAGCCATGGCAGTGTGCCTTCAGTGCCACATGAGGGCGCTCAGTGTTCACAGAAATAAGACTTCTTGCAGTTTCATATGGATCTTCATAAGAAGCACAGAGCGCTAGAGAATCTCAGATGACTAGTTCTAGTTTTAAATCCAAAGCTCAATATCTCTGTGACTTTAACATAAGAAGCTTATAATAGGGAAATGCATGATACCAGCACTTTGAAGTAATTTAGGAAATGAAGTGGTTGTTTTTACAACTTAGAGTGCGTAATTTGTCTGAGATTTCAAATAAATGTATTTTTACTACACAAAGGAGATGAAAAAGTATTGATGTACTAAATTTATGCTGTACTCTTTGTAACTGAGTGTGTAAATTGATTTAGAAGAAAAATGAATTTGTGTTACCATCCCAGTCCCTGATGGCTGACCAATTGTTAAAGAATTAACAACTTTATTGCTTTTTATAAGCAAAACAAGATACCAAGAATGAAAATGTATGGCTTACTAAATAGATTGTAAAAGCAAGATAAAAACAAGACATTCAAAACCTAAAACATCATCATTGTAGTCTTTTAAAATACTGAAATTTCCTAAATTTATTCTGTTAAAATAAGTTGGCTTAAATGTAATGTCTCGTGTAATTATCTTCTGTAACTCTGAATCCTATTTCTGCTGTTTAAAGCTATTAGAAATGTATTATTTTTTGCTCCTTCTGGGATGGGAATGGAAATTAAATGAGACAGAATCTGCAAAGTGACCTTGACCTCATCCCCATTATGGCCTGACTGGCACAAATGATTGCTCTGGTGATGAATGCAAAATGAATGATTAGATTTTTTTCCAATGAGTGATTACCCTTCTAATAAGCCAAGCTCTGATCTGGTGTATGAATGTGATCAGTGGATTTTTTATTTATAAGTGTAAGCTTCGCAGTGCTGTCGCTTTTAAGAAAGTCTGGATTCTGTAACATCTATAAATTCTACAAAATGTAACTTCAGGTTAAAGAAGGGGATTTGGGGAGTTTTAAAGTTTTTTTTTTGTACAGTCTGTCTTGTACAGTCTTTGTAGAATCTGTATTGTGTCCAGTATACAGTATACTTACTCTATGTCATGTGACAGGTGCATTCATATCCAGAATGGTGAAGCAGAAGACTATTGGTGTTTCTTTACTGATTTTCTTCACAAAAATAGAATCACAGTACATTTACTGTAATTCCTTCTTAAATAGTACTCCTTGTTGATTGGCTAGAACCTTTTTTTAATCAAAGCCTAGTCCTGGGTCAGCAGCCTTTCCACAGGGATGTGCCATGAGTTTGCTCATGCACTTGTTTTTATGAGATTTGCATTCCAATGATACTTTTTAGTGTCCATAATAGTCTTGCTTCCATTTTTATTTTAAAAATATTAAAATATGATAATAAATTAATATTCACATCTTATACTTTGTGATCCTTTCCTTTGCTTTTTACCCTTCTGATTCAGTTGTTAAGTTGTTAATTGGCTATAGAACTAAATTCATGTGTGAAAATACTGTACCACCTGTTCACAGAGGTGTGTTGATCCAAATGCTGAAATAAAAGTCCAAATTGTTCTTTTAAACATCAGTTGTTTGAAAACCCTGAGTATTTTTTTCACAATGTTATTGATACCTGTAACATTGTGTATAAAAAAATAATTAGATATTTAAATGATAAACTGAAAGTTGTGAAAAAATTCACAAATCACCCTCAACAAAATGCAAGACATTTGACAACTTTTGCTGGTTTCATTAAGGTGCTAGTTAAGTTCCAAAAATTGAAAATAGAGTGATTATTGAATGTTGAGCTAATTTTACTATGGTGCATTTCAAAATCCTCAACATCAATCCACTGAAATACTGAAAAATGTAATGTGTCTGGTTTAATTAGAAAATAAAACTTTGGGCCAGAATGCTGGAAATGCTGAAATTTGAAAGAAAATTCTGATGGCAGTTCTCCAAACTCAGCAACACAGATTGTGCAATATTTTCAAAGTTCTTTAAGATGTTGGAAATAACAAGAGGTTGAGGTGTCGATGTCCTGGTCAAAAATGGCAAGTTTACAAGAAATGCCTTCAACATTTCTAAAAGACCCGTAACAGTTTGCCCTGCACCTTGCAGACGGAGGTTGAATTCATTCATATGCGTGGTGATGTGGGCTAGAAACAGTAATTTTGTGACTCATTTTTCATTGTGCAGCTCAGGGTAGTTTTGACCTTTTTCTGACAAAAAGATATCTTGATTGTGTCAAGACAGCTCACAAACTGCCAAAACCTTCCCATTGCTTTACAGTGTTTGACTTACACTTAAGTGTGAAAAATGTTATCAATGTCACGGATTGCGAGCTCTCCTGTGAAAACAATAGGCTAGTCCCTCTAAAAATAAAGTGGTGAGTAAATAAGCCAAGTGAATCATTTTTTTTCCGACGACAAAGAGCTTTCATTGGCTAGCTTGTTGTACAAAATTACCGAACAGTCAGCAGTTTTTATCATTTCCTAACTAAATTTCTTCATGGCTTATTAGACTTTAATTGCATGTGCCCTTTTCATTGCACATGCAGTAGGTTGCTGACGCCTTTATCAGGGCATGATGTCAGTGAAGAGCTGTAGAAGGTGCAGTTGTTCAGCTTAGTTGTTGTAAGTAAGATCATAAGAAAGGTTATAAATGAAAGGAACCTTAAGCTCTATTTGTTTGCTTAGATACTATTCGCTAGCTTATACATTAGTTAAGTTAGTTACTGCTGCCTGCAAACACTCACTAAACACTATTGGTGCATTTACTCAGAGCACCTGGCTAAGTGGTCTTTTTACCTGTGTATTTTCTTACTGAATTCCTGGCTACTTTTTTGCACATGCATTTTTGTCAGTCTTACTGAATAACCAGCTGCTTTAACATTTAACAGTCAGCCTTACTGAATACCAAATCTGCTGGTTAACGGTGATTACAGCAACAATCAAGCCTCGCAGCATACTGCTACAGGAAAACACTCTCCTACTTCCTTTCTCTTTCTCACCAGCTCTCCTCGGTCTCTGTCTTTCTCTATGGAGGCAAACAGGTGATTCCTATAAGTAATGCTGCTATAGAGCCACTTGCAGCTGTCCCTTGTGAAATCACTGATTTCCAAATTTCCAAATCAGTTGTAGGCCCTTAAAGTTGCAATTTCTCAATGAGGAGCTCCGCCCCTCGCCATACCATGCCTAGGGTGGCTTTACAGTATCTTATTCGGCCAATTACTGAAGTTGACAAGGGAATCAGCTTCAATAACATGGCTTTGCAGCTTGTCCTAAACACTTACCACACTTTGTGTAAAGATATACTTAGTATTCTTGGTCCCAAAGATATCACCTCCTCATCTCTGTTTGTGCCCAGGATCCCTACTCCACTGTTGAGTCCTTTCCGTATTTTTAATACCTTTCACAATTTTATGTTTTTATTTTAAAGTTTGAAAACTTCTGTTACAACTCCTTGAAATCTCTGTTGAAGACTGAAGAGGTTTAAATCCTCCGACACCAAAAGGTCAATATAGACTTTTCTAAAGTCACTTATAAACATAGAAAGATGTGGGATTTGTAACCTATGTAATAATAAGAAAAATTAGAAAAGAGAGTTATTTTTTTTAAATAGTACTTTTCAGTTTATTTACCTGTTCTTCCGTCATGGATTAATATGGCTGTGTGAAAGTTTTTTTTCCCCGCAAAATTCTTTCAAACACATTTGGCCGTGATTTTATTTTGCATAGTGCTTGTAGTGTATGTATCCACTTCAAATTTGCATTCATCATGAAAGCCTTGAATGGGATCCCACTAATAGGAGTGTATCCAAATCCAGACTGCACTTGTTTTGGGTCAAATGTCCTGACTGCCTACGAAATTTGTAAGCTGGTTGAATGAAGCTCTCTAATGCTATTTTAATTTTTTCTTCTTGGACAATGTTTTAAAACTTTTTTTTCACATAGAAAAAGGGTTGCAACAGGCTATTAATAGTTTAATGGAGGTATTATTTGTCATAATATATGTAACATTATATTATATTGTAACGCTTACGGCCGACAGGCACTGTGTAAGAGCCGGCGTACCAGAGCAGGTGATGTCACCGCCCTTCCCTGTGATAGCAGGACTACAGCTACTGGGCTGTAGAGAGATCTCTCTTTAGCTCACGGGGCTAGGTCGCTGCAGAGAGACGCGGAAGTCCCGGGTTCGAGCCTCCAGTCGGGATGGGGCCGACCAGATGCGGCAAGGGCGCCCGCCTGAGCCCCCGTTGCGTTACAATATATATAATATTATATATAACATTATATATAACAATATTACAGCCAGCTGGAGTCTCGAGACTTTTTCTCTACCTTTTACAGAGAACCCCCCCTCTACCTCTCAGTCTCAGCCTTTTGTTTTGTGTGTCTCTGTGATCTTTTTTTTTGTTGTCCTTGGTTCAATGGTAAATTGCAGGTGTAGAAAAATAAGTTGCTTCTGCAGCTGTAAAGTACAACAGGTGCACTTGATGTAATTTGTATGTCTTTTACATTTTTCTTTGCATCACATTCTTGATTTGCACCAATAAACCCATCTTATTTAGTTTCTAAATGTATAATTATTCTGACTTCATAGGCTTATTACCTAATTATTACTGGGATTAGGTTTCCCACAAGAACTCTTCGAGGATAAAGTTCAAACTGCAGGTTAGGAGACCTAAGGTCTTAAGGTCAATAAAAACTGCAGGGACTAGCTGTAATGTTTAATTTCTTCTTCATAATATTTTGAAAAATAAATAATTTCCCCCTTTTTTATATATTATATATTTATTGTTCCTTAGTAGCGAGTTGCTATTCTCTTTCACTGACCTAATTCCCTTACTTTTCTCCTTAGGAATTTGTCTTTTCACATACCCCAACTTGCTCTCCATGAGACCAACAGGCACACAGATAGGGAGAGAGAAGCTTGTGGTCAGAGTAGGGTCATTGTACAGCGCCCCAGGAACAGCTGGGGTTAGGGGCCTTGTCAGGAGCCCAAACAGAGTAGGATTCCTCTGCCAGCTGCATGATTTGAACCGGCAACCTTTGAGCCACAGATGCAGATCCTTAGCCAGAGAGCCACTGCTCCGCCAGAGAGTGTCTGTAGTCATGAAATAAATTGCCCAGTTACAAACTTATCCTAGTAGATAAGTATGTAGATCCTTGTAGATCCTGCCTGGCACTGTGTCCATCTGTCTTTTTGACAACCTACCTATCTGTCACTCCATTTCTTCAGATGTATTCAGGAATGCTCAGTCATAGATTATGTCTTTATAAGCCTCATGTGTCAATAGATCTGCACGTGGAAATGTAGTGTAATGTAATGAATTTAGTTTTTTACATGCATACAATTCTGAACTAAAATATAAAATTGATTTTTGCTCATCTGTTGTTTCATTGTTGAGGTAGAACCTACTGTCTGAAAGTTCAGTATGAATGAAGATAATCTATTCATTTTTTAGCAGGAATGTTTATTAATAACTCTGCTGTTCCTGCATCAGCACATTTTAGCAGCTGGAGTCTGTGATGCATTTGTTTTTCCCCAACAGATATCTGGGGATGAGTTCTTTGCAGATGTTGCCAGGAACATTTTGTGCTATGTCTCTCGGGATCTGAGTGACAAGGTAACCTGTCTTCTCCCTCATTACTACGTGTGTCTATTCACATACTGCTTCAGAAATCAACTGGTTGGAGCTCTTTGAAATTGGATTCCTGTGGACCAGGAACCAGATAAAGTATTAGAGTGAAGCAGTTTCTGAATGGATGAAGTGGTCAGACCAGTGAATTGCTAAAAGACAATGTTTTAGGTTCTTATCATGTTGAAGTATTAGACACTGGCAAATTAAGATAAAAGGGTCCTTAATCCCCACCCAAAATTAAATTAGCTTTTTAATGACTGATTTACTGATGCAGTCATCTAGAATCCATAAGGTGTTTGATGTTCATTGAGAAAAGTGGTTTTTGCATGTATTCATAGCATTACCTGGCCATACATTAATGAATACCATCAAACATGGGTTTCATTAAATACCTGGTACTATTCTCTCACGTAATTTTATCCACTGTAAATGTATCTTCTGTTCCCTGTAGATATATTTATTATAATTGCTTACACTTATATAGCGCTTTTCTGGACACTCCACTCAAAGCGCTTTACAGGTAATGGGGACTGCCCTCCACCACCACCAGTGTGCAACCCCACCTGAATGATGTAACAGCAGTTATAGTGTGCCAGAATGCTCACCATACACCAGCTATCAGTGGGGAGGAGAGCAGAGTAATGTAGCCAATTCATAGAGGGGGATTATTAGGAGGCCATGATTGGTAAGGGCCAATGGAAAATTTGGCCAGGATGCCGGGGTTACACCCCTACTCTTCTCAAGAGATGCACTGAGATTTTTAATGACCACAGAGAGTCAGGACCTCGGTTTTACATCTCATCCGAAGGATGGCACCTGTTTACACTATAGTGTCCCCGTCACTATACTGGGGCATTAGGACCCACATGGACCACAGGGTGAGCGCCCCCTGCTGGCCCCACAAATACCTCTTCCAGCAGCAACCTTAGTTTTCCCCAGGAGGTCTCTCATCCAGGTACTGACCAGGCTCATACCTGCTTAGCTTCAGTGGGTTGCCAGTTGTGAGTTGCAGGGTGATATGGCTGCTGGCTATATGCACTGTGATCTAAACATTTCTCGCTGTATTCCCTTATGTAATAGGTGCTTTGGACTGCACAGACATCTGTATTAAAGTCCCCACAAGTCCAAACAACACGGATTTTTTAAACAGAATATCAATCCACAGCATCAATTCTTCCTAAAAAATCAGAATATCGATTAAACAACAGACAATTAAAACCATCAATCATTTCCATAATCATTTCCATCAAAATACATTTTTTAACTCTTTTTTAAGCTTTTTCAACTTCTAGTATACTGTATGTTGTTTATAGTTTTTAATTTGAACCTCACAACTGTTCATGGGAAATGTTGCAAACAAATGTTAAATTCTCCAAAAATAAGAACAACAAGTGTTCATGGGAAATCTAGTTAAAATGAATGTCAAAACTTTCCCAAAATATCCACAGCAAGTGACCCAGCTAAAGAATTTGATTCAGAAAATGTAGAATGCTGTTTTGTTTTTATTTTCCACTAGATACCACTACCACCTATATAAATATATTTATATTAATAAGTTCGGGTGGGTAGCTGCGTCAACATGTGTAGGCTGCAAAGGCACAAGTCATAGGTTTATTTCATGCTGAAAAGAGAAGAAAGAACACAACATTTCGGCCATGGAGCCTTCTTCAGGTGTGAGAAAGACAGGGCAGTAATCAAAGGTAAAACAAAAGCTGGGAGAGAGGAGGGGCCAGAGGCGGGAGCAGGGGACGGAAAGAGTGGCCAATCAGGAAGTGTGAAGTCAAGATAGGTGAAGAGGGGTGTCAAATGAAACCTACAATGAATAGAGAGAATTTAGAAGAAAATGAGTCTGTCAATGAGAGAAGGGGAAGGGTCAGATCCTAGCTGCAGGATAATTTTAGTTTCGGTAGTCTTTTTGATCTGGGAGTTAGGAAAACCATCTTTGAAAACACAGACGGAGAGATTAGTGTGATCATGGCCGTCAGAGGTGAAATGAGAAACAATAGGCTTGGAGAAATCTTTAATCTTCACAGCCTTAACATGTTCTCTGAAGCAGTCTCCGGACTCTGTCTGTCCCCTGCTCCCGCCTCCTGCCCCTCCTCTCTCCCAGCTTTTGTTCTCCTATACTATATATTTGGTCATGCACAACAAAGGAGACAGCTTGAAGCACAAAGCACATTTTTACAATAGATTATAATGACAAACCAGAAATTGAGACAGAGGTAATGGTAATTTTCTTTTTGTGCAAAAATCAGAATACCTTCTACTTATTCTATTTATCATTCATTTCAGTTTTGTGATTACAAATATACAATTTTTACTCTGCTTTCCAACTGCTTTTGGAGGCACTATATGTTGGAAAAGTGCTGGGGCTCTAAAATGGGTATGCGGGGCTCTGCTGATTGTATTTCACTGGAAGAGAGTAGCGGGAGTATGTTCTCCTAAAGGTAATAAAACTGTGTTTGAAGGCAGGACAAGATGGGGTATCAAAGAGTCTGGAAGTATATTATATGTTTTTGAATTTATTCATTATGTATTTTTCTTTTTATATCTCATCCTCCTGCTAGACAGGCTTGCATGTGTCCAGCAGGTTCTATAGAGTGCATTCTGTCTCTGAGACATGTGATGCTGGTGGTATTCAGACAGTTTTGCAGTGCTGTTTGGCAATTCCTAATTTCCAATATTATCAGTCTTATCACAAAACTATTTTTGAAAGTATGATTTTTATGACATGAAGTCTGATGACTGAAATTCCTTCTGTAAGGATGTTTTTTCCTTCTCTTTTTATTTTCCTAAGTGAATTCATTCAGTGGGGGGCACCAGGAGAAAGTCACAATAATGCCCCAGACTTCACAGGCTTTCCTGTTGGCTCAGAGAGTGAACAAACAATGAAGTCATAGTGATATTAAACAACTGTAAAACCATCCTTTATTGTCCGTTTTTTTACTATTTTGGCATTCTGTATATACAGTATGGTGTTTCAACACCTTTCATTTTAATTTACATTATCTTCCACTCTTAAATTTTACATTTTGACTTTGACTCCACCACACAGATGTTTTACAGTACATTGTCACCTATGTTAAAGCAGAAGAATAAAAATATTTACTGAAGGTACCCAGTGCAGCCTTGTCTGCTCTCTGGCTTTTTGCAGTCTGGGGGTTTCTACAGTGCAGAGGATGCAGACTCATATCCCACAGTGGACTCCACAGAGAAGAAAGAGGGAGCCTTCTGTGTGTGGACCCAAAAAGAAATCAAGAGGCTCCTCACAGAGCCATTGTCAGAGGCACCAGAAGCAACCACCATAGGAGATGTTTTCATCAATCACTATGGGGTGAAGGAGGAGGGCAATGTGGCCCCAGAGCAGGTGTGTACTTTCACAGATTAAGAAAATCAAAGGGCCTCTCTAGACAAATGGGTTGATTCTCCAAACAAAAACAGTTGCTGTCATGCCTTGTAAGAATCTTTTTTGTACATCTCTGTAATTCAGTTGTTTGAAATTTCTGTTTTGTCTTATTTCCCAGTTAAGTTATGTGAAAAAAGAACACTTGATTTTTCTTAAAACTTTTATAAAGTACAAAATGTAGGTCTTGAATCTTCTGCACCTGACCTCTTTCCCTTCTGACTTGGGGAGGAGAGATAAATTGTCAACAAATTTTAACCTCCTTGTTCATTAGGTATTTCAGCTGTGTATTCACACTGTCCAGACCTGTGAGATTAAAAACTCGGAGTATACTAAGAGAAATCAAGGTTGATCATAGGTACTGATTTTGGGTGTGATGGGTGTGATTTTATAATTTAGAATCACCAATTACTCACCTGATTTTGAATCACCTATTGTGTGTTTTTCATGGCTTGCCTTGTGGGCTATGAACTCTGCAGTCACACACTGGTGAATGAGGAAATGTACTGTAGGTAGACTCCTGTGAACCACCCTCATTTGAGCTAGTCATTTTCTAGCATGTCACAGATAATTCAGTTCACTTCACTTCGATTCCAATTCTATTCTGTTCAATTCAATTCAAGCTTTATTTTCCCCTGAGGGAAATTTGTTATACAGTACACCAGTGTCCAACACATCAATATAACAAAAAATGGACAAATGTCATCACCAAAGAATACAGTACAATAGTGTTACAGGGGATACAAGAGTTACATTGTTCGAGACATTGCAGCGGGGTTGCAAGATAAGAGTGCTGCAAACCTGCAAGTGCCTGGTAATTTCCTAATGTTTCCTAATTTCTTAAATGTCCTATGTAAATTGCTGTTATATGTGTAAAGAAACAAATGTTCATTTCTTTTTCAAACTGTCATCTTATGTGATTATCAGTAATCATCAGAGCCCACTTCTCCAGAGCACCCCTGCTCCCCACTTTCTAAAGTAAAAGCTTGAAGATACAGAATGAGTACAGGTGGTCATGGTAAAGAAAGAATGGTGTTCACACGTAATAAATTGCATTGCAATAATTCTACTGCCATTATTTCGTATACTTTGTGATTGAAGAGACAATTCAGAATCATTTAAGAGCTCAGAGGAGGTGGCTTGCATTAAAAGTCATCATCTTGAGTGATTGGTGTTTGGCGATAACTGACTGCAAATTAGAGACCTTGATGTTGAGCTGATACCCACTGAGAAAATCAGTCATGTATCGCTGACCTCTGTTTGTTATTGCAGGACCCCCATGGAGAGCTGAAAGGCCAGAACGTTCTGATTGTTCGGTGTTCACTGGAGCTGACAGCTGCCAGATTTGGCCTGAGTGTGGAGAGGGTGAAGGAGATTCTGAAACTGGGCAGAGAGAGGCTTGCTAAGGTCCGAGAGCAGCGGCCTCGGCCCCATCTTGATAGCAAAATGCTGTCTTCCTGGAATGGTAAGACCTGGTAATGGTCGACCATCACAAACTGTGGCTTAGATTATTATTAGCCTTCATAGTGAGCTATGATGTCCTTGCAGCCCCAGACAAGTTAAAGTCACCTGAGTTTAAAGAAGGTGTGAGGGAGTATGCATTTCTGAGTGGACTGTGCACCTGAGGTGTCCTGGGTGGCTTCTGTAGGCAGTCTCCATAACTGAGCAGCTGTAGACAGGGATAATTATACTCAGCTGTTATATAATCCTAGTGAAACAGAGGACTGTCTTTTTTGGAAGACAATCAGCAGAGTGACAGAGAGAAAAGATATGTGTGCTAAAAAGCTAGATAAACTCTTAGGAAACTTTGTTTTTATTTAGCTGTAAAAGGATATGTACAGTAGGACTGTTGAAAGTTAGATGAATTGACTATGGAGCTATCCTGGAAACAGAGGGATGCTTTGATATTAATCTACCATCTGATACTAGAGTGTGCAAAATTTGTAAAAATAACTTTAACAAATTGGATTTCAATTTACGCAATATAAATAATGATAAAATATGAAAAAAAAAATCAAAATAGGTTTTCCAACTTGTTATACTAGTAGAGCCAGGAAGTAACCCTAGATTCAGGCAAATGTAAAGCATATGAGAAATGGTATGTGAGATATTCTTTGCTGCAGTTTTGGTGATAGAGTAATAAATCAGTCAAATTTGGACAAATTTGTATTAACGATTCTTAAAACAAATGCGTGTTTCACAGAAAAACAGATTCAGATTACATAACCAAAATCTGGTCTTCAAGACTGATCAGAACAAGGTTCTCTTAGATAGCACAAGCTTTAAGCAAGAGGAGTTGGTATGTTTCTCTTCTTTTCTTTCTTGTCTTCCTTTCTGGTCTTACATCTGTGTCTTCCTTTCCAATATGTATTTATCCTTCTTTATGGCTGTACCATGAAGTTAATTAACCAGAGTAAACCATCATAAACCCCTTTTAATCCTTTGTTGTCTCTTGGCCCACCTACAGCTAGGCAGACACTTAAACAATTATCCACTGTTTTATGCTCTCTGAATAAGGCCTTGAGGAGTGCATACAAGTTGTGAACTCTAAACATTCAACTTTATGGCCCATACTTGGGTCATAACAGTATGATTTGATTCTGTGGTTCTATGTTAAATACTGTAGGTTTTCTTTGGGAGTCTGGGAAACCACAGTGGAACCTGGGAAAAGCCTTTGCTAATTTGAATCTTTTTATGTGCCTAACCTGTCTGTATTGTCTAAAGTTGGGCTTATCCTTATATTGTACTAACTAAGTGTTGTAGAAGTGCCCTGGATTATTTTGTCTGAGTAAACAGTGCATATAGCCTTTTACCATTTTCAAAAGTGAAGGTAGTGTGTTAATATTTGCTAGTGTGAGTGCTAATAGCAACTGAGAAAATCTTTTGCTTGTGCCATTAGTATACTGTGACTGGTTTCCATAAAAGGGTGTCATACAACTAGGTGAACACTCCTGGGTTTTAGGTCAGAATATTGTTTATTGAATCAAGTTCTAGTTTTGCTTCAGGGTTCAGGAGAGCAGTGATTGATCTGTTTTTTTTCTTTCAATTTTCAATATACAAGTTTGTGGTGCAGCTCTTTCATTTTGTTTCCAATTTTTAGGCTGCGCTATGAAATTTATGTATATTACATTCTGATTAAATTTTGTTTTTACCAAAATTTTACTTTCTGTATGACCCTTCCTAGAGAATACAGTGTGGGAAATGACATATGGAGAAGTTAGCTGTATGAAGCAGAAAGGCTGCCTCTCAATCTGTTCCTCTCCAGCCTTATGGTCCCAGAGGCGTACCTGTTCTCTCCACCACTGGTGGTAGGGTAATTAACTCCTGAGGGACAAGAAGCTGTTTATCCTGGAGTCTGGGAGCCATAATTACAGTTCATAAACCCAATTAAAAGGAAGATTGGCATTTGGGTTACTGTGAAAAGCTTCTTGACAAGACACTCCCGTGTCAATCTTCGACTAAACTTTAATGGTTTTAGCAAACTAAAAGTGTACTCACAAAGTCTTTACCAATGGTTTACATTTTAAGTTTGTTTTGCTTGTGGTAAAAGAGAAGCTTCTGTTTTTAACTAAATTGGAGTTGGTAACTTCAATGCAGATGCTCTTGGCTTGAAGGGGAACTGCAGGCACAATTTCTCAGACCTGTTAATTTGATAAAATAAATTAATTGATGGTATCACAAACTTTTACTAATTTCGAATTAAGCACCAAATTGTGAACTTTGTAAAAGTACCCTATGGTCACCATGTTGTCTCAAACTGCTGATCTCACTGTGGATGAGAGAGATAATTTGCAAGAATTGTAGTTTAAACCATCCCTTTCTGCTCACTAGTTACCGTAATGACTTATGTAATGCAGTGTACAAGTGAATTTCACTGCAGAAATGACAGCAACATGGTGCCACGCATACTGTACCTGGAAATTTAGTCTATTTTGTGATGTAAATTGGATAGAGGCATACATGCTATGATTGCAACAGGTGTAATACTGTACTAGTGCAGTAACTGTATGCAGATTGCAAGGTGAATCATACAGCTTATATTGTAAGAGAATTGGCAGATATTGGGGTCTGCTGTTTCTCTCTTTTCCCTTTTGTTTTCTTTCTATCCCTCATGAACCCTTAATGTGTGCTTTTGTATGGGTGTCTAGACAGAATGTGAAGGTACCTATGCTGTGTTACAGTAATTATATTAATAAAATAAGAGCACTTTGATAAAAAGAGAAATTTCCAAAACACATAACAGGATTTGTTTATAGAGCCTCTGCAAACCTAGAAGCGGGTATATTGAGTAGGGATACCAGCTAACACTAAGAAATCTATTTACTGAGTGGTTTTGGCTTTATTGGGAGTAAGCTTGTTGTTTGTTATCTGTGATGTTATTTTTATAAGCTATTATCAATGGACACAATACAGGATACACTTTGGACAGGATGCCAATCCGGCTAAACAGACACACACACAAGAACAGACATGCACACATTCACTATAGAGCCAGTTTTCCCTGAACCCATTTAACCTACCAGTAATTTTTTTTATTTTTTTTTTAATCCACGTGAACATTGGGAGGAACATAGAAACTCCATGCAGATAGGACCCCAGATATGGAATTGAATCCAGGGCCTGAGCACTGTGAGAGGCAGCAATGCTAATCACTTTGCCACTGTGCCATCCTATAAACTGTTGTATTCATACTTGTTGTTATGCATTTTTTCTGTAGTAGCAAGCTTGCCACTGAGGACCTGTTGATAAAACAATCAAATGGATTAGATCTATAAATCTTTAGTTTTGGCTCTGTGAGTTAATCATGGTTTCGAAGAAAAAGAAGAAAAAATCTGGCGTCTGGCAGTGCTTCACGTACAACACAGAAACCAAGAAAAGCGCTTATAAAATATTACCAGAAGAAAATGCAACATAATATAAGTAGTTCTGTTATGAGTGGAAACAATGTGACAAAAATTTAAACCACCAAATTATATATTTCTGAACTGATAAGTATATCACTTAAGTATATGTTTTGGAAAAGTTAATCACAGGTGAACAGCTTAAAATACTCTTAGCCTATGGTAGTTGTTTGACTGAAATAATACAGTGTCTAAAAAGTTAGTCATTGACTATTTATAATATATTTTTATATATAAGTGAATCTAAGGATTTAGGTACTTCTCGTTCTGTCTGGATGTTTATCATAATATTAATATTTATATTATTAAATTATTTTATATATTACATATATAATATTTATTACAGATTATATTTAAATGATATATTATAATTTATATTATTTTTACATTCTTATTAGAAAGTCTCATACAGTGTCTCAGTATAAGATTCATATTGATCCTTTATTGCAGAATTGCAGAAGACCTGTTTGAGGATGAATATTCTTTACATTGTACAAGAAAGACTTCTGCATTTTGATACAATGCTATCACATTAATTAAATCATGCAATCATGAGGTAGATGGTTCAAATTAAAGGTTTTATAATAACATTGCAGTAGTGAAAGTAGAAACATTTTCATTATATTCTATGAATATACTGTATGTCTCAAAATTAGTTTTCCTCTACTCATTGACAGATTTGCACTATAGAAGAGCCCCTCATCTGTTGAAGACCAAAGATAAAATCTACTAATGTGACCACATAAATGTCCGCAGCCCTGTACAAATTATGTTTGCACCACAGTACAAACAATTTAAGAGTGAAATTACTTCTTCAAATTCTATTCCATTCCTTTAATTTCCAAGGCTTCTATATTGATTTTTGACAGTGTTTTGAATGTAATATAAGACATTTTATACGACCAAATTAAATGGCATGAATGAAATGTAACTAAAACTACTTCAGTTAACTAATTCAGGCCCAAGGAACAATTTGATCTAACTGCTGAATGCCTAAATCAACATCCAAGGGATTTTCACCTGGGTTCATGTGTCCATAACATGTTGTTTAGCTAACAGGTCTGCAGCTACTGTATATTGCCTGAGGAGACAGCTGAGGTGCAACCTGTGAGTAGTGGCCTAACTGATTGAATCCAATCCACTGCGTAGGATTGTGGACAGGGGGGCACCAATAGTTGTTGTGAATATTGCACAAGGTTCTTTGGAGCATGTCTTCAGGAGAGGCATTCAACAAAATTTTGACGTATGTCTACTTTCTCAGATCTTACAGTGAGAGCTGCATTGCCAACTTGTAGTCCTTCCATATGAACGTCTCCCACCACTACAGGGTGTTGATTCTGGTCCTGCTGAAGTGTCAGATTACATCCCTCTTAGATGGTAGACAAACGTGATGAAATTCCCACACATCAACCCTATTGTCTAACCTGTATTAGGGTGGCTCCCAGACAGATTTTGTTGTTTTTCCACTATTTTAACCTTTACGCAATTTGCGACTGCAAACCTTCTTCATCTTTGTTGTACCTTATAACTGAGTGACAGCAGAGTACCTCACTTGCTCAATCCT